TCATTTACAAAAAGAATTAATAAAATAAAATATAATATTATTTAATTAGATGAGTCTCTCAAAAAATATAAGAGAGACTCTCATTTTTTTTAGAGACTCTCAAAAAAGATGAGAGAGCATGTACGACTCATCTTTTTTTAAAGACTCATCTAATTAAATAATATTATATTAACGAAATATTTTATTATCTTATTATTATTTTTGTAGGTGAGAGACTTTTTATGAGAGACTCTCCATTGTACATGCTCTTAAGAAAACATGGTATGATGTACCGGTTTTATAGATTGCTTCGGGAACAAGGAATGAAAGATATATATCCTATAGAGCTAACCTGCGTAATATCAGAACCTGGAGGAGAACCAATTCTAAACACCTCAGCATTGGCTGAAAATCCCAGCAAACATATTACGAAAATTGTAGAAATTCCGAAATATGAACCCATTTTCTTTTCTTTTTTTTTGTATTTTTTTTTCTTATTTCTTATATTATTATTTTTTGGTTTTTTGTTTATTTTCTGAGGGGATTTCAAGTAAATATCTGCTGCTCTATAGTTATATAGTGCCTTGGATAGAAAGATGTTGAAGCACCATTTTCCTCTCTACGTCTCGTTTTTTAGGTTGTTTGAACCCACAAATCGTTGCTGAACTTTGAATTAATTACACGTGTTTTGTATTTTATTGTAATTAATTATTTTAAACAAGTTTTGTTCAAGACTTTTATTTCAAACGCTAAAAAAAACAGATATATATATGTGGGTTATAGAATTTTAATCTTTTTTAAAAATAACGAATTAAGTTTACGAACTGATTTGTTCGTATAAAGTAAAAATCATTCTTAAATCATATTTTACCAAAAAAGATACTTTCTTAAATCATACTATTACCTAAGCTTTAGATCTTAACCTTTCATAAAGTATTAGCTAGTTCGTATCTTTATGGATTAAAAAAAAAAAAAAGCAATTCTACATGCCTCCCTGCTTCCAATCACACATTGGAACACACGCTGGCCCAACATCATTCGTATAATTTTTAGCTGTAATCATATACATATGCACTTTTCCAAATGTATCACTCCATTCCTTGAAACCCTAACGAGTAAGTTAGCTGTAATCATATATATACATATATGCACTTTTCCAAATGTATCACTCCATTCCTTGGAAATTAATGTTGATAATTCACGAAGCTGAGTGTGAATAATATTTTTTGTTGTATACCGCGGGTCACATGCGTTGTATCTAAAATAAAAAATTTTAAGTTGTATTTGTTTTGTTTAGTGTTTAAGATTGTATAATTGTATTTTGATTTGTTATTTATAGGATTTCACCTGTGGTATATTGTCTCGTATTAATATTGACCCAAACCCATCCAACCATATAATCTAAAATGAAATTAAACATCATTTTGTTATTTTTTTAATAACACTTTTATTTAAATGTCATATAATTCGAGTTAATTTGAAAGTTGCTTTCAAATAGTTTCCATGTATATTTTTAAATTAGTGTGTGTTTTTGGACCAACCCGTAAAAACAATTTATAATTGTATATGAAAATACTAATTAGGATTTCACCCGTGATATACTGTTCCATTTTAGATAATTGTAAAAATTAAAGAAAGATCCGAATGACTCAATTTCGGGTCTGAATAAAATAACGACATGATTAAATGCTCAATTTGTTCTTAAAATTGTTAATATAGATTACACACATATTTTTATTCATCGATTGAGTAATATATGTCCGTTTTAAAAAATTTGAATTGTAACATATGCAGAAAAAAAAAAAACTAAAATTTACTAACTATTTATATATTTTATAATAATTTAAAATAATATAAATATAAGATCAAATAAAAGTGAAATAAGAATCATATATTTATGTTTAAATTAGGTAGAGAGGTTTTAGGAAATTAGTGCAAATTTGTTATATTAGCATTAAATCATCATATTTGATTTCTTTATCTATAAAAATCGTGGAGAATATACCATAAATAAAGTGTTTAAATATAGTAATTAGTTGAGAAAGTATATATATTTTAGATTTTATTAATTATTTTCGTTTTTTAATTTTGCCAAAATTTAAAGAAAGATCCGATTGAAGATTTCCGGGTCAAAATTAAACAAATTTGACCCGATTTGGGTACCCCAAAAACTGCTGCAAAAATGTATAGTAGATATATGCACTTTTCCAAATGTATCACTCCATTCCTTGGAAATTAATGTTGATAATTCACGAAGCTGAGTGTGAATTGATCAGGCAAAGATACACATGTACATTTTTGGAAAGTGAACCTTATATACGAACAAAAGACTTTGTTAGATTTTATTTACATTGTGTTTACATGTTATAACAGTGTGTATTATTTTTGCTGAACACATAACGGATTTGTACTTTACCGCAAACTGTATATGCAAATAATTCTAGAAGCAAACGGAAAGTATATAATTAATTATAAACACTTTTTGGATTAGTTTGGTCAGCGATGTATCAATATGAAAATCATGTGAATTATTAGCGTTAGGAATTTGGCTTGATTTCAAAACGGTAGTGATCGATTACAATTGATTACCAATAAATTCATGTTTATTTTTCCTAAACTGATATTTTTTGTATAAATTATTATATATTTTTATTTCATGAAAAATCAAATCTATATTTCAGAAATAAAAGTGATTTTAAAATGGAATTATATAAAATTTAAGCAAAAATATCAAACTTAAAAATTTCAATGATATTATTATTTATTGAATAATTATTAAAACACTCTCGCATATTGCGAAGCACACAACGATTACTACCCAATCACGAGTCACTCTTCAGGTGATGAACTCCAAGCCTGAAGGGACTCCGTTTTATCTACTAAATATCCATATATTTTATATGTCAAAAAAATATTGCAAAACTTTTTTTATCGCACCCTAATCAAAGCGTCTTCACGAGATTGGATGGATTTATGGTGGACAAGCGACTTTAATTTAAGGACCCGGTTTAGCGACTTCAGTGCAAGCTGCTGGAACCAACTTGCCGGAGAGAATAGGCTTGATGTTAGAACATGCCGAGACAGCTGGTCCCTCTTTGCCGTTGTGGACCAAGTTGATGTCAGAAAGAGCAATATTGGTGCAAGGCACTCCTTTGCTGCACATTAGCTTCACAGCCACCTTTGTTGCTGATGTCCCCTTAATGTTCTTGATAGTCACGTCCGACAACTTCACTTTCGATGGTACCTTCATGTATATTAATTGGAGAGAGATTTTAAAATTTGATCGATACATTCTACCAAACAAACCAAAATAGATATTGTGTCAAAATTTGACTAGATAGTTTTGTATACATTCGATTTTGTTACATACCCCAGCTTTGCAGTGGCCATAAGGACAGTACTCTTGGTCGATGAGAACGGGGGTGCTAACATTGTCCATTGTGATATCTTCGAAAAGAATGTTGGAGGCGATACCGGGGGGAGATCCTGGCCATGTCTTGATGCGAACACCATTATCAGTGTTCTTGATGAGGCATTTCCTCACGGTGACTCCTTTTACTGGTTGCTCGTTAGGGTATCTTCCAAGACTTCCAATGGAAATTCCGTGTCCTGGTCCACATTCTACGTTCTCAACAATGAGATTTTCGGTACCATCTCCAATGGAAACGCAGTCATCTCCGGTTTTAATCTTTGCCCCTATTAAGTTGACGCCATTGGACCTTCCGATGTGGATACCATCGGTGTTGAGACTCTCCGGAGGTGCATCAATACCAATATCCTCAAGAGTTATGTTTTTGCAGTTAAGGATGTTCATGTGGAAAAGTTTGCTGTTTGTTGATGTAATACTCTTAATTTTCGAGTTTGTTAGACCCGTGAATCGGATGTTCTGTTCAAAAAACCCATATAATTACCAAGTTAATCCTAGAAAATATAACGATTTTATTGTAATATGTAAAGTTGAATGTGCTTACGATGGGGAGAGAGTTGCATTTGCCAGTTTTGGCACAATCATTGGCCTTCCAAGCGAGGGACCCTTGACCGTCAAATATAGCTTTGTTTCCATTCAAAGTGAAATCAGCGAGATTTTCGAAATCAATCCATCCGGCATGAGGTTTAGTGGTCTTGACCGTAGCCGGAGCCTTTAGATTGCCATTCAATTCCAAAGTGACTGGACCTTTGCATGGACCTTTAAACTCTAGGCTCTCTACCAAATACTCACCTTTGGGCACTGTAATCGTGCTCCCTGCTGCACACGCTTCTTTCCATGCAGCCATAAATGCCTATACATGAATCCACGTGAATTTTTTTTGTTAAACCATACAAAATCGAATATAATACTACAATTTTTGATACATACCGCACTGTCATCAGTTTTGCCATCTCCTTTGGCTCCTGATGCTTTAACATCAAGTGATGCACCGCCTGCTTTGGCTCCTGGTACTTTAGCGCCAACTGATGCAGCTGCATCTTTTGCTTTATCGCCAACTGTTGTAGCTGCTTCACTGACTTTATCACCAACTGATTCAGCTGCATTTTTTGCTTTATCGACAACCGGTGTCCCGTTTGCTATTGTGGTGGCCATAACCACTAGAAGCACTAGAAGCACTCCGCTTGCTCTTCGAAAACCCACCATTTTTTATTGATTTTTTTTTTCTTTTGTTTATTCTCTTCTTTTTGTTTTTGTGTTTATTGATGTTTTGTTCTGGTGATTCCAGAGTCCGTTTTATAGAGGAGCAAAGGGAGATCGAAAACCACAAACTCATGCGTTGCTAAAAATAATTCCGAGGATTGTGCTTAAGGTAGAGAAGAATGACCAAATCATGTAGGCCGATCCCTTTTGACTTGGTGTGTTTTCTATTTTTGGACATATATCGATAATGTAAACATCTCACACAATTTGGTAATGTAAAATAAATCAGATTTTGTTGCAAAAAAAAAGAGAGTACATAATCATTCATCTGATTAATTATACAATTGGGAGAATTTCAAATTGGGCCTATAGGTGAAGAATGGTTAATGGGCTTTGGATGTGAGATTGGAACAAATGAATAAAAACGGAACCCATTTAACGAGAGAAACCCTAAACCCTAGGGAATGGAGAGCGGCGATTACGACGTTGAGACGAAAAGAGAGAAGCTTAAATCGGTTCTCTCTCATCTCCTCGCCGATCCGATTCTCGCCGACGTTCCGAGGAATCCAACACTCTCTGATGTCGTCACTCTTGTCAGTCTTGAAAAGGGAAGCGCTATGCGTCTCTCCGTCGTCAAGCTCGACGGCTCCTCCCTGGGTATACTTCATTTGGGCATTTTGTCGAGCAAGTGGTGTGCGTTGTAGAAATTCATGGGATTCTTACTTGTTTGCTTCCTCATTGCAGATGTGGCGGTCATGAATTCAGCTACTTTGAAAGATCTGAAGCTTTTGATCAAGAAGAAAGTTAACGAAACGGAGCAAGCAAACATGGGTCATCGCCACATTTCTTGGTATATAGCTTCTCTCAAGTAACCTTATCCTTTACTTCTTGTTAGAATACAGTAAACTTGTTCATTAGAGGAGTTTTGGGAATGTGCAGGAAACATGTATGGTCAAACTTCTGTCTTTCGTGTAATAATGAGAAGTTGCTTGATGATAATGCTCTTCTTCAAGATGTCGGAATCCGGAACAATTCTCAGGTTTAACACCTCTATATATAATATATAATCCTATCTCAATTAAGAGTTTATTGGGTCTGTTGTTTAACTCTTTTGACATTGACATATATGTTAATCTTGGCATGAATATAGGTGACCTTCATGCCATATGTGATGAAGAAGGGTCGAGGAAGACACTCAAAGAGGAAGAAGCATCGTCTCTTTCGTTCACTCCACAAGACTTCTTCTTGAAGCCTTTTATATGTTGGTAACCAATACCACTGTCTCAGCTTTATTTACATGTTAGGTAGCATTGGTAGGTTTGATTCCAGGATTTTCGATCAAACTTAGTCAGGTCATTCAAAAGTTGAGCTACGAATTAAGAGATGAAATCTTTAGATACTTTTCAAGAAAGACTAGGTTTTTTCCCCGGAATGATCAGTTGATTTGAGTGATTATATAGGTCTAATATTGTTTTTGAAAATAAGTTAAGATTCCCAGTGATGAATATTTTAGTAATCTGGAACAGTGACAAAATGGAGCTCCCTCTTGGAAAATTTCCATGGAGGTTTTAGAGGAACCATTGTTGTAGATACTTGGCAACTTCTGAGGGTTTCTTCGCAAAATGAAAGTTTTTCTTTTTCTTACTGGTTATTGGGATTCTGAAACATTGAACTACACACTGATTTCATGTTTTTTCCATTTATTATTGCCATTATAGCTACTTTTGTTACTATCACATTTGGTGAATTTTGATCAGGTTGACAGTCGTCTCGTCTCAGCATGGATGAAATCAAACTAATAGATTACGTCTGTGGTTATTGCACCTTAGAATTCACCAGCAGCACAACACGCAGCAGAAACTAGTGGCGTCAAAGACAATGATCTTTATTAGAGTGTGAGAATAGGTTTAGCTATATTTGTATTCACCCGGTTCAGTGTTAAAACTCTGTATTTATCGCTATAAAATTACTGGTGTAGCAATGTGAATAACAAGCAGAAAACTGCTATATTTTCATTATTAATGAAACAAGAAACAAGAAAGTAGTTTGAGCTTCTATATAAATTTGATTTCCATTGCATTTTACTTGAGAGAATGTCTTGCAGCTGAAGAAGCTTTTGTAGCTCAAGTCCAACTATTCTTGTCCAAAGCACAATGCAGACGTATGCGTGTTCTCAGCTATTGGTAATACAAATGTGTCGGTATTTAACCAGTTTTAAAGTTTGCAAGGGGCCACGGTAACATCTCAAAGTCAACACATTAAAAAATAGACATCTCTTCTTAAATTGCTAAATAGTATGTAATGTTGGAAATTTGAACATAGATGGGCCTACGAAAAATGTCTTTTCTCCGATGCTAAATAAGTAGTATAATTTACAGCCTAAATATTGGTATCTAGTGTTTGGAGAAACCAAAGTGGTGGGAAACTTGTGCACCTCTTTACTAAAATGTTAGTATTACTTTTAGCTTTTGAAAGAACACTCACGGCACAACTGCCCCCACCCACCATTTCTTTTAATTTTACTTACTTAAAGTCTTGGAAATTTTCTATTGATTAAGATGTCCATTTGATACAGTGATTATTAAAGTCTTGGAAATTTTCGATTCAAATCTATATGTTTGCGGGTTGCCATGATATCGTTAAAATGTGGACAGATAAAATTTACTATGATAAATGATCCAAATAATTAGTTTTTTTTTTTTTTTTTTTTACTTTTAAATCTCTTGATCCAAACTCTTCATCTAACTTATGTTTACACGCTAGTTATGACTGAAACCCATCAACACAAATAGAGACATACTTTCATCTTTAAGTTCAGCAAAGGATTTGATCTAAATGCTTATCTCACCCATTAACTTTAATAAAAATCGACGAAGAAGTTTTATTAAATTAATTGAGAAGAAAAGTCTAATATGATCTACATCACAAACAAACAATGCAACTCTAATTAAGAAAAAGGCATTTTGTTTTTTCATTTTTAAAAAAAGAACTAAAAATAAATTTGAAAGTACACAAATTTATAAATCAAAAGGTAAAGATGTAGTTGTATATTAACGACCAAAAAAATAATTAGATTTTAAAACACCTTAGATTAAAAAAAAAAAAAAAAAAAAAGTAAAAAAGAGAGGACTTTTGCATGAGTTGGCAACTTCTCTTTTTTTTTTTGTTTTATTATTAAAGTCTTAAGAAAACTAAATGTTGCTCTGTCATCATCACACTTTTTTTTGTTTGGTTTTGTATTCTTCCCCATTTTCTTTATTCTCTTTTGACAATATGCAATTTCCAATCTCATCCTACGGTCTAGATCTCTCCAATCATCATCCTTCCTCTTCCAATATTCACTTAAAAATTAAAATTAAAATTAAGAGATAAAAATTTCCACGAGAGAATTATTATTATGTGATGCCTATTCAACGTACCCTCCCTTTTTTCCTCCATCATCTTCTTCTTCTTCTTCCTCTTCTCTCTCTCTCCATCTCGAGATCAAAAACTCTTGCTTCTGATTCTCTTCATTCATGGCTTCAGAGAAGAGTTTCAAGAAGAGAAAGATCACCGATGATGTAGACGGAGGAGGAGGAGGAGGACTAGAATCCCTTCCCGGAGATATCATCGCCGACATATTCTCTCGGTTACCAATCTCCTCCATAGCTCGGCTTATGTTCGTTTGCAGATCTTGGAGATCAATTTTGACTCAACACGGTCGTGTCTCTTCTTCTTCTTCCCCGACAAAGCCATGTCTTCTCCTTCACTGCGATTCCCCAATACGCAACGGTCTTCACTTCCTCGACTTATCAGAAGAAGAGAAACGCATCAAGACCAAGAAATTCACATTAAGATTCGAATCTTCCATGCCGGAGTTCGACGTGGTAGGCTCTTGTAACGGTTTGCTCTGTTTGTCTGATTCTCTCTACAACGATTCACTCTACCTCTACAATCCTTTTACTACAAACTCCTTAGAGCTCCCCGAATGTTCCAACAAGTACCACGACCAAGAACTTGTGTTCGGTTTCGGATTCCATGAGATGACAAAAGACTACAAAGTGTTGAAGATAGTTTACTTCAGAGGTAGTAGTAGTAGCAATAATGGTATTTACAGAGGTCGTGGTAGAATCCAGTACAAGCAATCAGAGGTTCAGATCTTAACCTTGTCATCAAAAACAACAGATCAATCTTTGTCTTGGAGAAGCTTAGGCAAAGCTCCTTATAAGTTTATGAAACGTTCGTCGGAGGCTTTGGTCAACGGGAGGTTACATTTTGTGACAAGGCCTCGTAGGCACGTGCCGGATCGTAAGTTTGTGTCATTTGATCTTGAAGATGAAGAGTTTAAAGAAATTCCTAAACCAGACTGCGGTGGGCTAAACCGGACAAACCATAGACTAGTGAACCTTAAAGGGTGTCTTTGTGCGGTCGTTTATGGTAACTATGGAAAATTAGACATATGGGTGATGGAGACTTATGGAGTCAAAGAATCATGGGGAAAAGAGTATAGCATTGGGACTTACTTGCCAAAGGGGCTAAAGCAGAATCTGGACCGACCCATGTGGATTTGGAAGAACGCTGAGAATGGTAAAGTGGTTCGGGTTTTATGTTTGTTGGAGAATGGAGAGATCTTGTTGGAGTATAAGAGTAGGGTTCTTGTGGCATATGATCCAAAATTGGGTAAATTTAAAGATCTTCTTTTCCATGGTTTGCCTAATTGGTTTCACACTGTTGTTCATGTTGGAACATTGTCTTGGGTTGATACACCCCTTGATTTATGGTAAATTAAATAAAGTTTTCAAATTTTATTACATTTAGAGTTTTGAGAAATGGGTACGTCTTCTGTTGCTGCTGCTACATCTTCTTGCCCCCTTTCCATACCAACTAAGTTCATTCTTTTTTTAATGGGTAGATTAAGTTGTATTTCTTTTCGAGTTCTTAATTGTTTCGTTTCTGTTCAATTTATGGGTTCTTTTTCATGCCATCTGGTTAAATGTAAATAATATTTTTTTAAATATAGCGGTAAATGTTTCCACGATCGTGCCATTTGATTTTATTGCTTTATTATATGCTATTATGTTTTGACATGCTCGATCACTAAGCAATGCAGGGAAAAAAAAAAAAATCTTAATGTAGCATATTAATTCTTTAGATCTATAGAATTCATAACAAGAAATTAAAGTACGACGATAAAGCAAATTTTAAAAGATATATCATAAAAAAAAAGAGGCGTTCGCAAATCACGCAAATCATATAGTTTTCACTAAAAAGAAAAACTTGTGTATATAAAGATAGATAACTATATAGTGATCTTCGATCTAAATATCAAAGCCATGTGGAAAGATTCCCTATCGTCTGAAAATAAAATGAAAACTATATACATCGTAAGATCTAAACATCTTAATTAAATAAAAATAAAAGATCTAAACAAATTGAAGTTTATGCATTTTTCGTGGTGTCAATATTTTCGTACATGCATGATCATGATGGCAACGTAATTGGATCTATATCAAGTTACAATGTGAACGAGAGAAAATAATCTCAACAAGGCCAAATGGCCGTTTATTTGCTTACCGATACTCTCTGGAGTATACGTCTGTCTAAATTCTGACATTTTTTTTTAATGGAATCACTTCACTAGTATAATATATAGTATATACATGGTTCAACTCCAAACATAAATCTTCATTTTTTGAACCAAAAAAAAAAAAAACTTATAAATCATCATTTTTTTGTCAGATTAGAGAAACACCGAAAAAAAAAAAAAGTAGCGGAAGACCTCAGGAAAGGAATGCCAACCAATGACATGGCAAATTGTTTCTCTATCGTCCTCTCTCTTCTTCTCTATTTCACTTATTTTTCAGAATTATCTTCAAATTTTGTTCTTATATATAAAAATTAGAGTCATGTAGTGATGAAATAGATATGCCGTCCGGCATTAGCATCATATCGATTGTTATAAAACGGTTTGATTTATTTCTCATGTCATGGTTTGACTACTGTCTTATTGCATGAATTTAATTAGACTGGTGAGTTATAAAACGAATTAGGTTTGGTGTCGTGTACCTAATGCATGTTGACTAATATGGTATTTAATATTTATACATGTGTAACGTAGACGCCTATTGCCTAACCAACTGAAAATGTTTTCCTAAAAGAACTAGCTTATATCTTTGCCGGTTTCGGAATCGTGTTCACCCATGTTGAAGAGGAGAAAAGATGATCAACGAAAGTTTGAAGGAGATAAGAGAGAAGAAAGAAAACGTGAGAAAGAAGAGAGATGATCAAAAAAAAAAAAAATTAGGTTAGGTTTTTTTTAGATCAATTTCAAAGGTCAAAGGTAGGCTCTGAAACCATGTTAAAGTAAGGAATTGCTCTCATTTTCTTATTGAATCATGAAACAAGGTTACATGCTTATATAGAGATTGAGAAAGCTAAAGAATAAGAAAAGATAATGAGAGCATTTACATCAGTGAGTATCTCAAAAAAGAGTATCTGATGAATAAAAAATATTATTGTTTATGATTTTATTTCTTATAAAATTTGAAACAATTAATTAAATTACAGTATTACACCAATCAAATTAAAGCACTTGGCAAAATGGTTTTTTTTTTTAATTATTTTAATTGCAAGACACTGGATGAAAAATCTCCATTGGAGATGGTCTGAAAATAAAAACTAAACATATCTCTCAGATTATACTAAACCACCTAATACTTATGACTTTGGAAAGGCATTTTATAACTTCCGAGTATATATGGGAATGAATTCACTAGTGAGAGAATATGTGATGAAAAAAATCAGTGTATATGTTATGTATCCTCATGACGGTCGAGGTAGGAGTTAAAACAATCAAAAGTGACATATAATCACATGATTATCACTTTATAAGCAATGTCAAGATAACACCTACAGTTTGATTGCTTATATATTTTTTTATATGCAATAAAATGAAACTGATTAAAGAGTAGAAGATTGGAGGCAATAAATTCATATGTATTTAAACGGAAACACAAAAATTGGGTCAGAAGCATATGCCCTTGTTTGTCTCATGTTAGGGTCGGTCCGCCAGACTGTTACACAAAATCAGACCGGGATATATCATCAATGCAAGTAAATGATTAAAGACTAGATTAGAGGACTAATTCAGTAATTACAGAAAATGGATAATTCAATAATCATATTAGTATTAAATTAGAAAGAAAAAAAAAAAAAAAAAAAACATAACAATTGTCTTTGTCTTTTGTCGTGGCTCGAGGCTATCGTCTCTCCTCTGCGCGTGGAAGAAATAGCAATTATGCGGTTGTTTTTATATGTGATGATTTATTTATTTATTTATTTTATCGGTTAGTGACGCTCACGATCTCATTCTCATTCTCCATTCCTTCTCTTTCCTCCTATAACTCGGATCACCACATGACTTGATCTCCTTGCCGTTACCAAAACCAAAATCCCTAAATTTGCCCTCATTTCCCGACCAAGAAGACATTTCTCTTCTTCTTTTTTGCCAGAAATTCTTGAGGGCGAGCGAGGCTGATTGATGTCTTTGGTATCTGGAGCCAGGGACATGGGGTTCGACGACAACAACAACAACAACAACAAGGACGGAGATGATGAGAACTCCTCCTCCAGAACCAGAACCAGAACCGACGACGATGCTCTCGCTAGACAGATGAGCGAATCTTCTCTTTGTGCTACCGAGGAAGAAGAAGACGACGATTCCAAATTGCAATTGGGTCCTCAGTACACTATCAAAGAACATCTCGAGAAGGACAAGGTTTCATTTTATGTCTTCTTCTTCTTCTTCTTCCTCCCCATCCTTTTTTTTATTTACATTACATTGTCAGATTTTGAAGAATTTGTTGGCTTTTTTTTTAGGATGATGAGAGTCTGAGGAAATGGAAGGAACAGCTTCTGGGAAGTGTTGATGTCACCAACATTGGAGGTGTGTGTGTGTGTGTGTACCTCTCTTCATTTCAATGGTTTCTATGATTGTTTCTGTTTTTTAAAAATGGGAAATTTAATTTTGGCGACATTTGAGACCCTTGTTAGATCATAGTCGTTGTTTTGTTTGCTATCTCTCTGTGATTCATGTTAGAATAGTTTGGATCTCTCGTTGTTCTTTGTTTACCTTCAAATGAATACAATCTTCTTGCACATGATCTCAGAAACTGGTGTGGATTTCAATTTTCATCATCTATGTTTTATGTCTCTGCTTGATTATGCATTTCTTTGTGAGTAATTTTGTGTATTCATCAAGTTAAGGTTGAAAAATGTTTTGCATTTATAGAATTTTGGCTCTTTGATCTCAATACGCAGAGACTCTTGATCCGGAAGTGAGGATTCTTAGCCTCGCCATCTTATCTCCTGGAAGACCCGATATTGTTCTGTTGGTTCCGGAGAATGGAAATCCAAAGGGCATGTGGTTTACTTTGAAAGAAGGGAGCAAGTACAACTTGAAATTCACCTTTCAAGTTAACAACAACATTGTCTCTGGTCTTAGGTACACCAATACTGTTTGGAAGACCGGTGTTAAAGGTAATACAACACCACAAGTCTGTTTTTAATTATGGGTTCGAGACAATGTGATCCAATTCCTTTCTTATATGGCTACAGTGGACAGAGCAAAGGAAATGCTTGGAACCTTTAGTCCTCAATTGGAGCCATACAACCACGTGATGCCAGAAGAGACCACTCCTTCTGGCATGTTTGCTCGAGGATCATATTCTGCAAGAACTAAGGTCTGTTGTTGGTTTAAGATTCTAAACTCCTTGATATTCTATTCTTTGGTGTTGATTTTAAAGTTACTCGACAATCTTGTTTCAGTTTCTTGATGATGATAATAAGTGCTACTTGGAGATCAACTACAGCTTTGACATCCGTAAAGAATGGCCTGCGGTTTGAAACTCGAGAATGCGAGTTTGTCTCCTGAGATGTGTTGTCGGTAGAAGAAAGTTGTGTTTGTTTCACTCCCTATCTCCGTTTTTTTTCGTTGAACATATAATTGTGAATCGTTTTTCTGATCATGGTAGAACAAGAAGGACATTTACTTCATCTTTGATCTTGATTTTTTGTCCAGTAATGTCGTTGGAAAAATCAACTCTGTTTGTTCTCAACTCTGTTTCTCCTTCCACTTAACATGTGTTTGATGATATGATTGTGTCAGATCCTCACATGTATAATGATTCTCAATCCAGATGAAAGTTTTCTAAAAAAAGAAGGTTTTGCTTCACAGATAATGCAGAGCCTTTCTTTATTCATAGATTTAATATGCCTTCAAAGAGAAGTGAACTTATTTTTGACGCTTCTAACCACAACACAACACCACACCATCAAATTTTTTAACCGCCTCGTGTAAACATGATCACCAATGGTTTCTGAATAAAGTGAAACGCAGTCCTTGATACAACGTCGCCCTCATATCGCTGTGTGCATTTGTTTGATTTTTATTGTGTTATGATTATTTAAATTTAGATTGTGGAATTCATGGAGACTTCAAACTCGAACTTCCAATCGATGCCAAGTTTTTTTTTGTTTTTTTTTTCCTTTTTAATATAATGCAAAGTTCCTATCCTCATATTTACGGGTTGTTATTAATTTTTTGTTTTAATAAAAATACTATTGAGAAGAACAGTCGACAATTCATACTACAAAGTACAAACCAAACAAGGATCTATAAAAACATGAAGATCACAATTGATATATCAAGAGGGGTAAAAAATGCAAAAGGCAAGTAACACCTCTTGGAATCTCTTGGAATGTGAAGGAACTTGACATTTACCATCACAGAAATGGATCTTGGTTATGTTTTGCTCTCAAAATAAAATTAAAAATCCTATTTATATATACTTGGAAAAAAAGAAAAAAAAAAAGACCATCAAGAGGGGTAAATAAACCATTGTTGGACTCCCTCGTTTACACTTTTTGGCTCATCTTCTCCCCAACAGTTCTTTTTGTTTATGTGCTCTTACCATTTTCTTTCAGAGAGTTGAGTCTCCGAAGTCTCTGATCAAGTTCTGCCATCACTGCTGGTTCCTGCTTCTTCCTCTGCTTTGATATGGTGTTGGTAGTCATCGATCCGATTTTCTCAAATGCCACCTGAAAAATGTGTTGATTGATATTAAAGATTATGAATCCTGAATATATAAACTCGGTTTTCGGACTAAGGCAGGCATGGCTTACCGTTAATAATTCATCCGGGTCAAAAAGCTGGTGTGAAGTTTTCTGTAATATGTTGATTACATCGCCAACCTGGTGGGTCATAAGCAGCTCGTTCTCTTTCATCTGCGAATGACGAGAGATCCGTGAGATGAGAGACTCATCTTAGAAGAATTATTATGGAAAAGGCTGATCAGAGGAAGAGAAGTAAGAACCTTGAATATTGCTAACGCTGCATGGAATAGAACCTTTGCTCCTTCATAGAAAAGTACATCCCACACCCTTAGAGTTGTCTGCAAACCAAACCAAAGTTCACAGTATACATAAGAAAAGTAATCTCAAAAGACACATAATTCGACAAAAGGGTTTGTTACCTCTGAAGGAAGGCTTTTAGAGAAGAGGCATAGAAACCATTCAGTGGCTACAAGGGAAACATCAAAGCCCATATCTTCAAGATGAGTAGCTATTCTGCAAAAATATAAATTCTTTTCTCTCAAATGAGTGAACCTTCCTGATCAAAGAACTAGGCAACGCAAGAATTTGATATACTGGTGAAGTTCAGCGACCAAGAAAGAAAAAGAGACTTACCGAGGACATTTTTGGGCAAGCAAATCTTTGAAAACCCGCTGCTCAACATGGCATCCAGACAAGTTGGTTGTGTAACAGTCACGGACTAATACGTTTTCCAAAAGGACTGCTAGCATCCAGAATGCGTCTTCTTCTGTCTTCATGACAAGCAATAGTAACGCTGCAACGTAGTTTAGACCCTGTAACAAAAACGGCATTGAATTAAGATATAAACTCATCTGAATAGAGAAAATGGAGATGTGAAAAAGGATAAGTATGCACCTGACAATAGCCAACATCGGAATCGCGAAAGGAATAACCAACAAGCACACGTCGTAGAGCAGCATGACCCTCTGGAGTGTCCAACCATGGATGGCCTGGGAAAGTGCGTGGCAGATCCTGCAAGAGTAGACACACAATGTCAAAGGCAAATGTGAGAAGATCCAGAGGAAGTTGCAGTATAAGATAATGGAATCAACAATTCTTCTGCAGAAGAAAGGCTCTGCTATAAGTTGCCTGAACACAAGAATGAAGAAGAACGATCCTAGAACAAAAGATCAATGGAAATAATTGGAAATGAAACCACAATTGTTGGTTTCCTGAAGCTAACATCTATCCTTAAATCACACAAAATACTTCTCAGAGACACAATTTCAAGATCCAGGGGATGAGATCAACTATTCATAGCACATAACATTATGAAGTAGCCTCCTATGACCATCAAACAACAGTAGAAGAAGAGAAAGGGTTTTCAAAAGTAGGCTCTTAGTTGCCAACAGAGCACAAGAATCAACAACAGATCTACACCAATCCTAAAATTTCCTGAAAAATACTAAGTTATGTGAAGAAGAACAAACCCAATCAAACCTTAAATCGACGGATCAAGAAGGCAAATATCGAGACTTTGGATATAATAATACTCACATGATCAATCTGCCTCGTTGCCGGTGTGACCTTGCCATCGACGGCTTTGGTCAAATCACTGTAATAACTATCCGGGACGGTGGACTTCTTCTTAGCAGCACCAGAAAGAGAAAACCAAACCTTAGGCCTAAGCACAGGTGGGATCCCTTTCCGAATCAATCTCTTCAAGGTAATCGCATTCGTCAAAGTCGAGATCTTGAGAGACGTTTTCAAAGCGATTCCGTCACCGATCAAGAGAATCTCCGGCTGAAGATACCAATTAGCTCCTTTGCTAGCTTCGAGCGCCCACCAAACTCGTCCTTGGTTCCTGACTTTCTCTCTAACTTCGTTCAACACATTGACGTCGTCGACATTTCCTTCCACCGTGAAACCGTACAAGTCCTGGAATTTCACGACGATGTTGGCTCGTCTCGCGTGGATGCTTGGACGGAGAATCGGAATCTGAGATTGTAGCTCCATCGTCAAATCACGTCTGCTTTGGATCCCAAACATCCTCCGGTGAATCTCTGTAATAGTTGTTGTCTTGTCGGATTCTTTCGTCAATTTCAGACCAAGCACGAACACGGACACCGTCAAAAAAAAGTTCTCGGCTGCTACAAGAGATTAAAAAAAATGAAGTAGTTGTTGTTGATATCTTGAATTTAAATAAATCTTATCAAAAATTTCTGATACCTTTCAATATTTTAATTGTGGTCACGTTCTGCAAGCGTTATCACCTTTGAACACCTCTAATCTTCTCCTCCTCTACGCAGTCAAAAAAAATTACAGCTTTTGTTTAATAAAAAGATAGAAAATTTCCAGAAACAAAAAGAAGCTAACAACAGATGATTTCTTTTTTATTATTTCTCTCTCTCTCTCGTCTCGTGAACAAATGGCACTAAAAATGGAAAGAGGAATAAAAACAACTTTAAATAAATAGAATAAGAAAAGAAAAATAATTTTAACTGAAAGAAATGAAAAATCCAGAGGAGCGTTGAATTGAATCCCCGCGTCTCTCGGTTGTCGAAGAAGAGATATTATGAAAGTTGGAATTTGGAGGGGAGAGATTTGTTTAGGAAAGAGAGATTTTATTATCAACTTTAGATAGAGCTGGGGTTGATTTGAAAGCTTTGAATTTTTGTGGGGTTATTTTATAATTTAATGAAAGATTATGATTTTAAAACGTTAGATACTGGATTAGTAAGAGAATAATGACGCAGGTTTTAACTTTTTGAATCATTGTTATGGACAAGAACTTTTTGGTAAATGACTATTATATCCCCTAACAATGATTGGCTCTGTCCTTTTCTGCGGAGAAATGTGTAATTTGCATAAACGATATCTTCTTGATGTAAATTCCATCATCATTTAAATTGCAAGAGAGAGAGAGAGACGATGTCAAATAAAATATACCACCAATTAACACTGGATTTTAAAAGATTTAAAATTTCTAAATTCACAATCCATCGGTAATAAAACGTGGTGAAGTGACATATACCATATGTATTAAATATAGATGATGTTCCTATGATAAAGACAGGTACAATTTTCTACGATAAATTGTGTAATATAGATTACTTGAGAACAATATGGTATCCCATAATTGATTTTATTTATCAGATATGCTTCAAAGATACAGATATGCTTCAAAGATACGTGAGTCCACGACTCCACTAAGCTTCATAAACTTTGAGTCTCTAACTTAAATCGTTCTAACTATACAATATGCATATATATATATATATATATATATATATATATTTGTTACTCGAACGAACGATATGCAAAGTCTCATTAATGTATACACAATTACGTACCAAACACTATTGGATACATCGACTTCTAGATATATGATATTGTTCGTTAGTTTATGAGAAATTTAAAAACAAAATATGCATCCCCACCGGGACGAAGCTAGCTCTCTTTACTGCGCAATGAATTAAATTACGGGACATTGGTGGGATGAATTAGTGTCGCCGGTAAGATGCAAGACAACCTCACCAGAACTAAAAATCAATAACGCGACTATATTAATTAGAGGATAATATTATTCATACATGGTATCTCTTAAATTAACTATTTTTCTACTACTGGATCATAATCAGCTCAATATTGGGCCTGTGACATTTCATATATCTTGGCCCATCTTGTTTGTTTCCTCTAGTTAACTGCAAGCAAAACCATAAACCAATTACCAAACCACTTTAATTAAGAACCAATTTTCCACACCTGCCTAAAATCATTTTTAGGCTACAAATTCTCTCATAATTAACACCACTACGATATTTTTAAACTAGCAAATATTAGTTACTTAACATACGATACATCAAACCCCTGATCATACCTACAAAAAATCATATGCTCTATTGCTACATAAAACTTAAATATCGTATATGATACAAACTTCAATAGTTCACATAAATATAAAATAATTCACTACTACTTAGGTCGTCTCTTCTGATCAACTATATTAATATAATAACTTGTCTCTTTCTAAATAATATTGGTCTATAATTTAGTCAGTTTGATATATATATAAAAGGGAAAGTTGTTGCGTGTGTTGTTGCCTTGTTGGGTGCATTTTTTTGAAATTGACCCATAAAAATACCAAAAGTACAGATACTCTCCAACTAATTTTCGATTATTGAATAATACCACCAAATTTTAAAATAACATGAGAATCTTCTTGGAAACGAAACTACACAACACAGTCTCTGTTTTGTAAAAAAATTGATCCTTCTGTATTCCCGCCGTAACTAATTTTCTCAAAAATCTCTCATTTCGTCTGTTTGAAAGTTGTGATGGGAACATGGAAGACGAAAAACAGTAATAAGAAGAAGAAAGTTAGCTACATTTCAGTCCCAGCTCAGATCATAAACTCAGTTTCATCATCATCTTTACAAAGTTTTCTCGATAACAAATCTTCAAGCAAATTCTTCTTCAATCTCAGAAACCCAAAGCTCTGGGCTTTCTCTCTCTTCTTACTTTCTATTTTGGGAATATCATTAAGACTCGGTCTTTGTCTTTCTTCCGGCGTTCACGAAAGTCAACTTCAGAGCTCGGATTCTAATGGGTCACCCAAATCCCATCTGGGTTTTGCGTATAGCCGATCAAACACCACTCAAGTTGAGATTTCGAACGCCAAGGATCGATCTTTAGATACGGGTGTGGAGAAAAATGAAACCTTTGGTGGTGATCAGTCACATTTGATCACCTCTAGTGGAAATGTACATGATGATAAGAATTATGAGTTCTGGAAACAGCCTGATGGATTAGGTTACAAGCCATGCTTAGATTTCAGCATTGAATACAGAAGAGAGAGTAAGAAGATTGTTGCAGAGAGGAGAAAGTATCTGATGGTGGTAGTTTCTGGTGGGTTGAATCAGCAGAAGATTCAGATTGTTGATGCAGTTGTGATTGCGAGGATTCTAGGTGCTGTTCTTGTTGTCCCAATATTGCAAATCAATCTCATTTGGGGTGACGAGAGGTACTTTTGATTTTTAGAGCAAAATTTAAGAGAGTAATTTGTGGATCATCAGAAATGTTCATTTTTGTGTTCAACATGTGTTTATTTGCAGTGAGTTTTCAGATATATTTGATTTAGAGCAATTCAAGAGTGTTTTAGTAAATGATGTGAAGATTGTTTCGTTGCTTCCCGCAAGTAAAGTAATGACTAGACCATCAGAAGATGGTAGTATGCCCTTTAATGCCTCCCCTCAATGGATCCGTTCGCACTATCTAAAGCGTGTAAGATCGATCATACAACAACCCTTGGATCAATTAGTGATGAACATATGAGAAAGAATGTTCAATGGTCTTTGTTGTATCCTGCAGTTCAATAGGGAAGGAGTTCTGCTTTTAAGGAGATTTGATTCAAGATTGTCTAAAGACTTACCCTCTGATCTCCAGAAGCTCCGTTGTAAGGTGTGTTTCTAACTTGGAAGCTAAAAGTGTTCATTTTTGTTTTTTTATCATTTGACAAAAAATGTGTTGCAGGTAGCATTTGAAGCACTAAAATTTTCGCCACGGGTTTTGGATATGGGGACGAAGCTTGCAGAGAGGATGAGGAGCAAAGGACCTTACATTGCGTTGCATCTTCGGATGGAGAAAGATGTGTGGGTGAGAACAGGCTGCCTTTCTGGTTTGAGCTCAAAGTATGATGAGATTGTTAACATTGAAAGGATTAAGCGGCCTGAGCTCTTAACAGCCAAATCTAGTATGACATCTAACGAGAGGAAACTCGCGGGTCTCTGTCCATTAAATGCCAAGGAAGTAACAAGGTAAATGAGTGGCTACCGATTTTCTTACAAGGTTTTGTGTGTTGAGAGAGATATTGGTTCTCAATTCAACTTTTTAATTTCAGACTGCTTAGAGCTCTTGGAGCACCAAGAGATGCGAGGATCTATTGGGCGGGAGGTGAACCGCTTGGCGGAAAGGAAGCTTTGAAACCGTTAACAAGTGAATTCCCACATCTCTACAACAAATATGATATTGCGTTGCCTCTTGAACTCAAACCTTTCGCAAAACGAGCTTCGATAATGGCAGCAATCGACTATATAGTGTGTAAGGAGAGTGATGTGTTTATGGCATCTCATGGAGGGAACATGGGCCACGCAATTCAGGTACACATTCTTAGGTCTCTCGGTTGTTTCAAAAGTCGATTTTTGGTGTGCACTTACACATTCTTAAGGTTTACTAAGGTGTTAAATTAATCTTTCAGGGGCACAGGGCTTATGAAGGACACAAGAAGATTATAACACCAAACAAAAGGCATATGCTCCCATACTTTGTGAACTCATCAATGACTAAAACAGAGTTTGAGAAGATGATAAAGAAATTACACAGACAATCTCTAGGACAGCCAGAACTAAGGATTAGCAAAGCTGGAAGAGATGTTACAAAGTATCCTGTTCCTGAGTGTATGTGCAATCAATCCAACACCACTATTTAGAGCTTCTTTTTTTTGAACATATGGTTTTAAGACAAAGATTAACTGTAATGAAAGTATAATATGCTCCACTTTCTATGCTTTTTATCTTGAAACTAAAACTCCTTGTAACATGATCTTTTCATTGACAAGATTATCTTAGGCAAAAAGAATCCAAACATAAGAGATGAAAATTCACACAGAGAGGGGCAGAAACATATAAAAACGATTCATCCAATACTTATTTCAACAAAAAGGTCAATATCTTTCAAAAAGAGAATCCAATCTTTCACCAAGAGACTATGAGAGATACAAACTAAAAGCTTCTAGAGGTAAACCAATGTAAGGGAATCAGTAGCCTTTGCCACAATGTATCAAACTGCCTGCACCTAGAAAAAGCCCGAAAACTGCTGCGCTGCCGAGGGTAGTTTGCCCAATGTATCTAACCTTCATAAGCCCAGGAACCTGCAGAAAACAAAAGGAACAAACAAATGATCATCAACCAGTAGTACGATATGAATCTCACACAGTTTATCTTGACATAAGTATTAATTGAGACAAGAAGAGGATTTCTACTCTTATTAAGTGCTAAAACATCAAACTGATCATCCTCTCCAACTCACAAATAACAAGACAACAAGAGCAATGATAACTTGAGCGTTTAACAGTAACAATTGCTTAAAATTGCCCAAAACAATGAAATAGATGCATGAGTCAAATTAGTATGCTCAAAGTGAAGGCAAACAAACATAAGACTGGAGCTGTGCAAGTGTGTATTCAATTGCACAAGCCATATCCAAGAGTGCGTATGTATGTTTTCAACAAGAAAGATTTTTATTTTTACAAAAACCCAATTTTACAAGGTGACTCAGAAATAAGCTTACCCTGTATCTAATCGCCTCGTAAGTTCCATAGACAGCACCTGAACACAACAGAATAATATCATCTCCAGAACCAAAATCCGTGTGGAAATTCCAAAAATCAGGGACATTTAAAGGCGATTAGATTGTAATTTAGGGTTTTCAGAATGTGAAGGAAATCGAAAGCGTACCTACTGCGCCGCCAAGTGCGCCGCCAACGGCAACTCCGGCAGTGATTTTGGCCAAACAGCTATCTCTCGCCATCTTCTTAAGGGATTCGTTTTTTTTGAGTATTGAGACAATTCGTTTCTTGTGTCGGAGAATGGTTTTTACGGTTGCCCTCGCCGCTTTTAAGGTTTTTAACCTCGAAGTTTTTGCTTGCACGATGGATTGGTTTTGCCTTTCGCAACAAGGACAAGCCACAACACCGACCTGTTCCTTAACCGGCTTAACCGATTCGAACCAAATTTTCTGGAAGACGTCATTGCTTTACTTTCAGCTTCACCCAATTTACTACCGACTCCAGCGGGCGGATCTTAACCCACCTCAGCCGGCATTTTTTTTTTTGATACATTAACAATAAATATAACAAAAAATTTAGCAAACTACATTTATGAAAATTTCATTTGGAAACCAACAAAATTAAGTTTTTAAAATTTTAGTTATTTTTATATAGATTTTGGTGAATGGTTACAAATTTACAAATTTTTTTTTTTGTTATCCGAAATTAATTAAAGCTCAAAAGAGTTATTCCTGAGGAATGTTGTTTACATACGTGATATGAAACGGTTCTGTACGAACTTTTCGTGCCAGATTATCCGCTTTAACATTAGCCCTACGAGAAATTAAAGATAAAGAAAAAGATGAAAACTCCTCCTTGTCGCTCTGAAATTCCTCCAAATACACTGAAAACGCCGGCCATTCGGTTGGAGAAGACACCATCTTCACCAGGTCTGAACAGTCTGTTAAGAACGCTACCTCTTGATGATCTGCACCAATCATACACTTCATCGCCCAGAGAAGGGCCTCGACTTCGGCATGTAGTGGAGATAGACTTCTACGGAGGTTCGCAGCTCCCATGGTTGGCGGCTCTCCATTTGATGATGTACAGAACCACCCTGTACCGGAGAACTTATCACTTCCTTTCCATGATCCATCCACAAAACAACGGTATCCAGAATAACTCGACTCAAGTAAGGCATCTCTCACTCGAGTTCGATTCACCAAGTTCATAGAACCATGATTTTCATTATGGAGATCTAATTGAGCTGACTGCCACAATTGTGCCTCTTTTTCCGCTAATCGTAATACTATATTGGGTCTTTATCTATATTTTCAAAGATCTTTTCGTTCCTTACTTTCCAAATATACCAAATAATTCATGGGAAGGCTGATGAATCAACTTCCGAAGGTATTCTCCAAAATAAATGATCCAAATTGCAAAATTAGATTCTGTTACAAATTTACAATTATAAATAATAAAAGGGTCATATTCTTTTAAGAATGTCATTTATCGAATTAAATTAATGTTATCGCTGTAAAGAAAATTTTGAAAATTGGTAGCTCTTGGAAAAACACACATTTATTCAAAGGGATAATTGCTCAAAAATAAAAGTGCCGGCAAAATCCACCAAGACATTCCATGTCAAGTCAAAGCATTAGCAAGTAACAGAATAAGAAGAAGAAGAAGAAAAAGAAAAGCATGACCTCACAACTCCATAACATGTTCTTTAGTAATTAGACATCTCTCTCCTCAAAAAAAAAAAAAAAAAAAAAGACTACTCACTTGTGCTACCAATATATCAAGTCTTCCTGCGATAAGAATATATTTTTCTCAGGCGGATTGGCGCCCACTGGTCGTTCTGATCCACACTGTCAAAACAAACCCCATCCGGTCATATTTGCAGAATAGCAAAACAAAAATGGATAGTTCTTAAATACTAGTATTCACACAGTAATCACTCATTCACTTGCTCAAACCAAAGCAGATTGTATTAGGCAGTGTAGGCAAAGATATCAGCATCACATCAAGATGATGCAACAAAGTAGGCCTCCAAATGAGTTTCGTATCTCTCTAACTACGTAATATTAATTAGACGACAATTTAGGCAAAATCCTGACTAGGTAAAAGAAACAGCAATCATCAAAGATATGTTTTCATGGTATCAAGTGCAACACAAGAGCGAGCGTAGGCCTCAGTATCCATTTCACTTGCTAAAATCAAACAATGTAGGTCACTGGTTCAATTATCACTGGCCCATCTAACAAAATTTTGAATAAAAATTTCATAAGAAAGTTTCTGGCTTGTCAAGTATCACGAGAAGATAATTTTCTTAAGCAGTTTTCTTCTTCAATCACGCAGAAAGCAAAAACAAAAATGTGTCCAAGGCAAGAGAAGCTAATTGGGTAGAGTTTTACCTTTTCACATCTCAAAAAGGAGAGACGATTCTCCCTTGAAATAATTGCGTCTGTGCTCTTGCAACCAGAGCACATGACGTAGTCAACTGAAATTAACAGAAATTAGAAATCACTTTAAGAAATCAATAGAAGGATGTTACTTTATTTCAATCCAAATCTTGAGAGGAAATGTTACTTACGGATATATCGTCGTAATAACGATTCAAAGTGCTTCTGTGTGAATCTCCCCCTAACAACCAACCTTTGCTGCCCATCAAGTGTACCCCTAGTACCCATCTCACCAAGCAAGATAGCCATAACATGATCTGGGGGTCGACGCATGCTGAAAAAGTTTTAATTCCAAATACAAACATCAAAACTCACTACGTTCTAGTAATAATGGTTCCAAAAGTAAAAAAGTTTGAAGGCGCAGAGATATGGGAATATGTTCATACGTCTTGCAATAGTCCATAAAGTTGACAAAGACTGTCTTCTGTGTCCCTGTCTCTGTCCCTTCACGAAGAACTTGTGGTGGCCATATAATTGTAAGAAGCCAAACTCCAACAAGCTCCGGACTATTTTCACGCAGGATATTAAAGACCCTACGAAGAATCTGTACATATAACTCCAATCAGAAAAAAAAAAAAGAAAAGACAAGAAAAGGAAGCAGGTAGAAGTATGCATTGACGTAAGGAAAGAATCCTCCAAAGCAATATCTATATAAGTCACACGTTCTAGTAACCAAAGAGAATCATCTATCAACTATGCATGCTTGAAGTACAAGTTTTTTCTTTGTTTCTATTTTTGGTTTGGTCAATGGGTGCAAGGTGATGTAAAAGAGCAACAAAAACAATCAAACCAAACGAAAAAGGAAACAAAATCTATTGTCCTAACAAGTCAAAAACCAAAGTTACTTCTTGATCATGCTTCACTTCTTCCTTGATCTCATTACTTTCATCAGCCATGATTACTGCCAAGAAAAGCATTCAGAAACTAAATCAAATATTATAATCAAGAACCGGATGTGTATGAACATCAACAACGAAGATTGGACTCTGTTACCTAAAACAACATAAGTAGTAATTTCTGTTTGAAAAATTATTAACTCTCAAATTTTCAAAAAGGAATTACCTTTTGGTAACGAAACCGCAATGCAAGATTGCTCTTAACGAGGAAACTCAAGCGAGAGAGAGAGGCTGTGAAGCTTTTTTGTTTTTGTTAATTCCCTTTCCAACCCTAATTTTTTTCTTTCTCAAAATCTTTTTATAAAATAAAAAAAAATCCCTAATTTTTATATTTATGCCACCAATTAATTCGTAAACCAAAACGTAAATGACATCTAATTTACACACTGACGGCAAAAAAGGGATATAATTTACAGACAAAAGTATCGGCGATGAAGAGAGATTAGATGCTCTGTTTCGGTTCCTTAAGAGATTGAGGAGATTCTATATGCGTACATTGAGATAATTCCTCCAATAATTTATAAGTATCAGCGAAGGAGAGATCGGAGACTTGGAAAGGACGATGATAGTTCAGTGATGATGACTCGTCGGAGACCCGACTCCGATATTATCCAGGTAAGTGATGAGAATCGCTCGTTGGGTTTATTTAAGGAGGATGAAGATGAAAAAATTCGAGATTTGGGTTTAGTTGATGAGACTGAAACTAGACATGCTTCCACTAATTTGCTTCTTCAATGTCATGATGGTAGTTGTTGCCTCCACAAGGATAAGAGCAATAGCTTTGTTTCATGTAGACGAAACTTGGATGATTTGTTCTCTGGGTTCGTTTATAAGGGTGTGAGGAGGAGGAAAATGGATGACTTTGGAAGTAAAACAACAAGTAATCTTTTGTCTCCTCAAATTGCTGATGATGATGATAGTGTTGCTGAATCACATATTGAAAGGCAAGACTGCAGTGAATTTCATGTTGAAGTAAGAAGAGTTTCTCCATACTTCCAGGGATCAACTGTTTCACAACAGTCTAAAGAAGAGTGTGATTCTGATAGTGTTTGTTCTCAAAGTGGAAGAAATTGCAGCAAAGTTCAAGCTAAAGTCCCAATAGTTTCTCCATACTTCCAGTCATCAACTATTTCACAATGTGGTTCTGACATTGTTTCTTCTTCTCAAAGTGGAAAGAATTATAGGAGAGGAAGCAGCAAACGTCAAGCTAAAGTCCGAAGAGATTCGCCTTATTTCCAGGAATCAACTGTTTCAGAACAGCCAAGCCAGGCTCCTCCTAGAGATTTGCGTCAGTATTTTAAGGTCGTGAAAGTTTCAAGATATTTCCATGCGGATGGAATTCAAGTCAATGAATCACAAAAGGAGAAATCAACAAGGGTGAGAAAAACTCCTGTTGTGAGCCCTTCACTTTCGCTTTCTCAGAAGACCGATGAGGCATACCAGCGGAAAACGCCGGATAAAACGTGGGTGCCTCCACGATCTCCATGTAATCTACTTCAAGAACATCATTGGCATGATCCATGGCGGGTGCTGGTCATATGTATGCTTCTCAACAAAACATCTGGTGCACAGGTTTGTCCTCATTCCTCTCCTTTTTTTTCATATATATATGCTGAACTTATATAATTATAGTTTAAAAGCATTTGAGACCAAATTAGTTTAAGTGGGTGTGTTTAGTGTTGCCATTGCTTGTTGCATATTTTCTCAATTAGTGACAGGAATTAGTACACGAAAATCATTCTTGAGGGAAGTCCAAAAGTTGTTAGCAAGTAAGAAGTTAGACCTCTGTGGGCTTGAATCTTTCAGTTTAACTGTTGCAGAAAAAGTAGATGCAGTCTTTGGTTTGACCAGTAATTTTTGAAATGTATTTCTTGGCCATGTTGAATTTGGTAGAAGAAAAAGCTTTTCAGTTGGTCAGTGAATTTATTTTTAAAAATGTGATTGCAGACGCGGGGAGTGATAGAAGACTTGTTTGCATTGTGTCCTGATGCAAAGACTGCAACAGAAGTTGAAGAAAGGGAGATAGAGAGTCTAATAAAACCTCTTGGACTACAAAAGAAGAGAGCCAGAATGATTCAACGGTTTTCTCTGGAGTATCTTCAAGAGAGCTGGACTCATGTCACTCAACTTCATGGCATTGGAAAGTATGCAGCGGATGCATATGCTATATTTTGTAACGGGAATTGGGATCGTGTGAAGCCTGATGATCATATGCTAAACTACTACTGGGAATTTCTCAGGATTCGGTATAAATTATGAGTGGGAAGGTACAAGTATATATTTTTCCTAATTTGCTCTGTTTTTTGTTGTTGTCAATGTCACCAATGTCTTAAAGTTGTCTAATACTAGCTTGTTTTATCATATATTGGAATGTGTTTTGGTATCATCTATGGGGTTTTATACTTTTATGTGTTTAATATTGTCGAACACCTAAGATGGGGCATGATTGTTGATGATGAAAAAAAGCTATGCGACTTTCTCAGGTTATTTTTATTTTAAAAATTAAGTTAGTTCTTTGGTAGATTATGCACCAACTATATAATAATTCAAAGAATGACAATGATGAGGCAACTACTATGAGCCAAATCCAAAAGTATGAACTCATTAAAATAAGTTCAATATTTAATGATAAACCAAACACAACTTAATGCTGTGTACATGCAATCACAACTTTAGTTTGTGTCTTCGTTTTCTTTATCTGTCATTAAACCTGTGTTTCTAAATTAAGAGATTTTTATAAGGTTGTTTTTGTAAAAAAGGATGTAATTAAATGTTGTGATAATTGTTTTAATGATGTGTCAATTACGATATTTGCACAAAATCGAAAATAATCACAAAATCGAAAATCCTCTTTTTTGTTTCTCTCTCTGGCCGACAAAAAAAAAAACAAAAACAAAAACACAACTAATCATAGGCTTCTCCATCTCTTTGTCTGCAGGATGATGCAATTTTTCAGACAATTTTCTTCCAAAATCCTTTCGTAACTCTGTTTTATTTTTCAACGTTTTAGGTTTTACCAATCCGTGGTAGTTATATCCAACATTAATTTTTCTCCCTCTTCTCAGAAAAAAAAAATTCAACTGATCTTTAGAGTTTTTAGGTTCTTCCAAGAAATTGAATTTGGAAGGAGGCTTTGATGGGTTTGAATTTTCCATAATCGCCCCTTGTTTACGGTATTTTTCTCAAGGAATCCCTTAAAAACAATTTATTGGTCTTTGTCTCTTTGTGTGGTGCAAATCAAGTTTGTTTTTTTTTTTTTTCCTCGTGTTGTTGAATCAGATTCAGAGATTCTTGTTGTTTAAAAATGCTATGGCTCTTGAGGGGATGTTGTCTTGATTTTGGGAAAATCTTGTTTGAATGGTCACGGCTTTTCTGAACATTCGCGTGTTCTTTATTGTCTCGGCTCTGGTTCGAAATGTCTCTAGGCCAAGAAAATGTCGAACCTGTTGAAGTTTCAGGTAAATCCCTTCAATTTAATCATCCCCCAAATTTTCAAACCTGTAAAGGTTTCAAATTTTGGCTTTTGTTTCGTAGGGTCGCATGCTTGCTTATATGAACTTTTATGTTCAGAGACACCCAAATGGACTCCTCTTAAGGATTTGCAAACATCTTCTTCTGGTAATTATTACTTAATGATGGAGATGAACATTCTTAGGATATGTTTAAGTGTTAGCTGGAGACAATCTCATGTCCACACCACATTTTTTCTCAGATCCCAGAGATCGGTTGGAGAAGTTGCTGAAGCAACCTGGGAATAAATATTGTGCTGACTGTGGCTCTCCTGAACCAAAATGGGTGTAAGTTGATTAATACTTTTGTGTGGTTTGTACATTTCTTTTGATGGATTGGATTGGTTCATTTCATTTCGTTTCCTTTTAGATCGTTGAGTCTCGGTGTATTTATCTGCATTAAGTGTTCTGGTGTACACAGAAGTCTTGGAGTTCATATATCAAAGGTACTTTCTTTTCACAAACAATCTTGATTTTTGTCTGCTTCTGTGTGTTTAGAGCCTTTTATCGATAAATTTGATTTGACGGATAATCGCAGGTTCTATCAGTAAAGCTAGACGAGTGGACAGATGATCAAGTTGACATGCTTGTAGGGTACGGTGGAAACACGGCAGTGAACCAGAGATTCGAGGCTTGCAACATCGACCAGTCAAAGAAACCAAAACCAGATTCTACTAATGAGGAACGCAATGATTTCATCAGGTGACATTTTTTACTTAACAATTTCTTATAATGGTATGTATGTATAATCAACTTGTCGTTATATCTTTAAATCTTGCAGAAAAAAATATGAGCAGCACCAGTTTATGGATCCAAAGGATGGTGCTTTGTGCCCTTATCAGCAGCCTAGCAGAACAAATACTTCACCACCGTCTTTATGTTCTGCAAGCCACCGTTCTACAAAAAACCGTATTGGTCATGCATTTAGGAATAGCTGGGGAAGAAGAGAATCTGATCACAAAGGACCAAAGAAGAGCAATTCCATGGTAACAACCACTATACATACATACATGTTTGGGTATTAACTGTTGCTAAGGTTAATTTTGTGGGTGTTTTATAGGCAGGTATGGTTGAGTTTGTGGGATTGATTAAGGTTAACGTGGTAAAAGGAACCAACCTTGCGGTTCGAGACGTGATGACCAGCGATCCTTATGTTATCCTTGCTCTTGGACAGCAAGTGAGCTCTCTGCCAAATCTCTCTAGACTTACTTATATGATTTAAAATTAACCTCTCTCATGAATACAAACTCTGTTTTTTTTTTTCAATGTTTGTTTGTTGTAGTCGGTAAAAACACGGGTGATAAAGAACAACTTGAATCCGGTGTGGAATGAGACGCTAATGCTTTCGATACCCGAGCCCATGCCTCCTCTCAAAGTGGTAAGAACAGAGAGCTTTGTAGTAAGCTTATTAACTTATTACCAGGCTCTAACTGATTGTTATGTTAAACTCTAACAAACTCGGATAAACACTACTACTGAACCGAGCTTGATATGTAAAATTTTGCAGCTAGTGTACGACAAGGATACATTCTCGACAGATGATTTCATGGGAGAGGCAGAGATAGACATACAACCATTGGTGAGTGCAGCGAAAGCATATGAGACATCGAGCATAAAGGAACCGATGCAGCTGGGAAGTTGGGTGGCGAGCAAAGAGAACACATTGGTGAGTGATGGCATAATATCACTTGAAGAAGGGAAAGTGAAACAAGACATATCACTTAGGCTTCAAAATGTTGAAAGAGGTGTTCTTGAGATCCAGCTTGAATGTCTTCCTCTCACTCAATGATGATACTTTCTTCTTCATCCCTCTTCTTTCTTTTTCTTGAAAAGATTTATTTTTAAATTTATAGTGAAAAAGAGATTCTGCTACTTTCTTTTTGTTCCACCGCAAACAAACCCTATGTATAAAAAAACACCATGATTTGATTTGATGATTCTTCAGAACCAATCATAGTTTCTTCTATCGGAAGATCAAATACGATGAAAAGCAATCAAGAGTTGAAAACACCATTATTTTTATGCTTTTGACGTGATGCCCTGCAATCTCTCTGCGTGGTCAGAGTGATATTACTGAAACACCCTTCCTTTATCACTTCCAAGTTCCATCAGAGACCAAAAACCCTATGGGGGTATGTATAACGGTCTCGTAATAGGTTTTCCGTTTTCGCGCCTAAATCGATTTTTCTTAACCTAAATAAGTCATGGCTCTGCTTAACTTGTTTTCCGTCTCGTAATGAACCTAACAAGCATTAACATATTAAGCAGAGCCATGACTTATCGGATACAATGAACCTATGAAGAATGATATCAACGCTCTGAATCAATCACTACTAGAGTATGTTCATGCCCATCATTCCAACAATACTTGTCAATGGCTCTCAAGGAATTGGAGCTGGGTGGAATAATTTCATACCGAACTATAACCCTATGGTGCCTATGGATCCTTGGTATAGAGGTTTTAGAGGTACTATTGAGAAAACTGCGTCCAATGAACACGGAGCTATCAGAATGTGGACTAATGATTATAAAAAAATTCTTGTTTTCAATGAAGACAGATCGTGGCCGCCCCTTTATCCAAGTAGAAATGCCTGCTTTTATCAGAAACTGTGATATTGTATGCTTCTTTCTAATCCATTCCTCATCTTTCTGAAGGACGTCAATGACTACCATGACTATACATCTGTGGACTTTGAGCCTATATACTGAGTAAAGAGAACATGCTGGCGGCTCGGCAAGAGGGCTTTCTGAAGAAATTCAATCTCACCACGACAAGTGCTACAAGCAATATGCATCTCTTTGATAAAGAAGGTGTGATAAAGAAATATGCGACTCCAGAACAAAGTAACAGGAAATCCAAATTGTTCATTCTTTCTTCTTCTCTACAGGTTTACTAATTTTACATTCCACCTTGCAGTCCTTGAAGAGTTCTTTGACCTCAGGCTTGAATACTATGAGAAGAGAAAGGTTTGAAAATCTTATACTATGATATTCAGTCTTTTTAGAGGTTTTAGTTATTAAGGCAATGGTCTAAAACTAACATTTTCGTGATGTATACAGGAAATTATGCTGAAGAATCTGGAACTTGAGCTGCTGAAACTAGAAAGCAAAGTGAAGTTTATTCGTGGATTTCTCAGTGGTGAAATCAGAATATTTAATAGAAAGAAAGCTGATATTGCTCAGGATTTGAGACAGAGAGGGTTCACACCAGTTCCGAAGAAGGCCACAGTTAGTGGAACAAGTGATGCAGCTGAAGAATCTGAGGATGAGTCAGAGTCAGACTATGACTACCTAGGGAAATTGACTATGGAAATGTTTTCTGTAGAGAAAACTGAGGAGTTATGTGCAGAGATAGATAAAACGAAGGAACAACTTGAATACTTGAAGAAAGCCATACAAGATCCCTCTGGCTCAGAGACCTAGAGTCTCTTGATATGGATTCACAAAGCTAAACTTTTAACACATTGACTTGGCAAATTGTACAATTTGTCATTGATACATTTGTTTTTCCTTTATATTGCAGAAGCTTGATTTGAAGGATGCTCAAGACGAAGAAGAGAGAAATACTTGGTGCCAAAGAGACCACAGAGAAAGGCAGTGAATCAACGATGTTATTGACACTAACTTTAGGGGGATTTTATGCTTCGCATAAAACTCATGAATTGTTTAAGGGATTTGGTCTCATTAATCAAAATTGCTTTTAGTGTCACCACTACTTCATGAAGCAGACTTTAATATCTGTGCCTCTCGTCTTCTTTCTTTAGATTTGGTGTACATTTTCGGATGAATTAAGAAGCATGCACAAAACCAAGAGTTCCAATAATCCAAGCACTAGATTAAACACAAGAAGATAGCCTGAATGAATTAAGTGGATAATAACTTTCAAATTTCTTAATATCACATATTTAAAACTTTTAAATACATAAGTATATTTATATGGGGTCAAAATATATAAGAATTTATAATCACCAAAAAAAAATACATAAGAATTTATGATAATTAAGTGGATAGTAATTTTGATGTTAAAAATAATTACCGTGTTTTTTTTTTCTTTCTGTTTGTTGTTGTTGTTGTTGTTACTGGTTATATTAAAGTATAATTTATATATCAGTATAGATTTCTAATTGCGGAAGAAAGGAGAAAACGATCTCCGGTTTGAGCTATACGTCGACGAGATCTATCGTCAGGATCTCAGATTTGTTGTTACACTCTTGCTCAAGTCCGGCGACATGAGTTCTCCGGTACGAATATTATAGCAGATCTACCAAATTGGCCTGAGATCTTTTGCGTTTCCCTTTTTCCGATTTTGGAAACCGTCGTCTCTGATCTTGCGAATCATCTTCTTCTTACATTGTTTCAGGGAACGAGTATGTTCACCAATTTCACTAAGCTCTGCAAAGGACTTGCTCTGGTGCTTGTGGTGGGACACCTCGTGGTTCAGTTCATTCCCGCTACCGTCCCATACCTTGCTCTGATTCCGGCGAGGTACTTCGTCTTGTCTCCTTTTTAATCTTCTGTCATCTCTTGGGTTACGATTTTGCTGCTGGATGGATTTTGTTGTGCTCCCACATTTGCTTGGATTTTGTGTGATAGCTCTCTGCGCTTAACTAATTGCTAATTCACGGTTTTGAGGAAATTAGGGGTTCTATATGTTAGATGCTCGCTTGGTAAATTACCTGATTGTTCTTCGAATTCCATTGAAACTATTGTGATGCTCCTTGCACATTGTGAATCCAGAGGAGTCATTCTCTACTTTAGGCTTGAACTATTATTATCATGATATTGTTACAATTCTGAACTCTCTTCGTTATAGGACTATTCCTTTTGCCTGGAATCTGATAACAAGCGGCTATTTTGAACTCTCAGTATATGGGGTATGATTTTATGTTTTTCCATTAGTTCAACTTGTTCCTATCCAATCCTGGTTTTTCATATATAGTACTTGAATAAATGAGTGACTGTTTGCTATGTTGCAGGTTGTCTTCAGCACCGTTTCTCTCCTCTTTATGGGGAAGTTTCTGGAACCTGTCTGGGGTTCCAAGGAGTTCCTTAAGTTCATCTTTGTGGTGAACTTCCTTGCGTATCTCTGTGTCTTCGTTACAGCCATTGCCTTATACTACATAACGAGGCTGGAAATTTACCTGTAAGTAACCTACCACCCTATACATGCTAAGTGTCTACTCCTTGTTTATTTTCCTTCTCTTACTTAAGTATGAAGGTGGATGTCTTCATCATGAAAATTAAGTCGAAATCCTCCAAGTTGTAAATTGTGACTTGTTTGCTTCCCTGCTCTTTTAGTATAATATTTACCACTGAATATGATAAATCCTCTCTACTTTGTTTTATTTCATTATTTTCTACGTATAATAACATGTTCTCTGTTTTTACCTGGCTAGATATATGCCCTTTGCCGGTTTTCATGGTGTCTTGGCAGGCCTTCTTGTCGGGATAAAGCAGATAATTCCTGACCAGGAGATATTGCTGTTAAAGATAAAAGCAAAGGTAATGTTTTGCTTTCTAGTAAGAAATGTAGAGCTTTGACATTTTCCCACTTTTAAGTTTTTTAATCGAAGAAGTTCTCACATCCTATTCTTACTTCTGGTTTCTGTGTGCAGTGGTTGCCCTCAATTATGCTAATTTTGTCAATAGCCTCAAGCTTCTTCACACTAAATTCAGCAGCATATCTTCCCACTTTGATATTTGGTACATATATGGGCTGGTTATACCTCAGGTACCTACAGAGGAGACCAGAAACAAAGCTCAGAGGTGATCCAAGTGATGACTTTGCCTTCTCTACTTTCTTCCCTGAATTTCTCAGGTGAAAGAGATTTCTCCTTTTTTACTGTACTTTTGAGTTTGCCCACAAATAAATTCTTGCCTTGCCTCATATGTTGTTGGTAATTTTGTTGTTCCAAATAAAACACAGGCCCGTAATCGACCCTATTGCCTTAATCTTTCACCGGATGCTTTGTGGACGATCAAATGCCACCAGTGAAGACCATGGTTATTCTACCAGCGGTGCGCCATTGCCAGGTTCTGATTCTGCTGAAGCATCTAGGAGGAGGTAAAATTGTTTTCGTTTCCTTTTCCTCTCTTTCCTGTTCTACTTCAATGGTAGTTTAGATGCAATGATCTTAATAAAGTCCGTGCTCTTTAGGGGTTAGTGTAGATCATGTCTTCAAAAATTAGTACACGCCCTTTTTTTTTTGGCTTGACACTGCTGAAACATAATCTAAGATCTAGTTGATGCAAACCGAGATAATGAATGATCCTGTTCACTTGATTCTAAGAATAAATAGTACAGGCTCGTCATGAGTTTTTTTCAATCAAAATGTAAGAGTTAGACTTATGAGTGGTTTGTATCGAACCAGTCCTGAGAATACTATATCCGGTTCTAGAAAAGGCAAAAAGTGGTTATAACACCAAAGATGTTATTGCAGAGAAAGAGGGGCAAGAGCTCTAGAGGAGAGACTAGGAACGGAAAGATTGGTTCCTGCAAGGAACAAAGATGAATTGCAGAGTGATGCTTTGGATAGTGTATAAGTGGAGATTGCAATATGCATTTTGAAGAAGCTGTTGTGGTTTCTTACTTGTGTTCATGTGGACAGATTTTTTTTTTTGTTAATGAAATTGGCTTATTATACAGAATCAACCTCTCCGTAAAGGTAGTGCATTTCCTTGGACAAACCAATTAGAAACAATTTTCTTGGACGAGAAGATAATATAAAGTAGTTATACATGTTTTCACTTGTCTCAAAACTTGTTATTGAAACAGTCGCAATGGTTCACTCTTAAGACTTGAAACATACAAAAATGTTTCTTTATTGAATGAAAAACCAATGAACAAAAATGATATCAAATTATTAACAAAGAAGTGTTAATATACAAGAGAGATGGTAGGTTAGGTTGGCCCATAAAAGAAGGGATTCCATTTGACTAGAAAAAATTAAACAAAAAACTAAAACCGGATTGTATCTGACTACTGTGGGAAGTTTCTCATTAGTCATTATTATATTATTTTTGGTTATGAAAATAGAAAAGAGAGAGAGAAGAAAAAAAAGAAATGAGAAAAAGGAAATGACGTCAGCATTGACAAGGTAACCACGTCGCATTCTAGCAAGTCCCTCCAGATGTCTGGTTTGGTAGTCGCTTTAGGAATCAAACGCGGAGCTCCAATAACAATGGCCATTACCAAACTCTTCAATTTCTCTATCGAGATTCTTCACACAACAACATTCCTCTTTCTTCCCCTTTTTTTCGTCGTTTTCAATTTCCTCGTCTCTTCTCTTCTTTCTGTTGCTCTTCTTCGTTTTCTCACGCCATTCCCAATAAAGAAAATAAAAACATCTCCTTTATTCGTCGTCCTTGGCCTATACTACATTGAAATCCGATAGATTCTGAAAGAAACCCAACACAGCAAATGCGGCTTCTCGATCTAAGCTATGGAGGAACGAATGAGAAAAAACATAGAATCCAACAATAAAATGTGAAAAAGACAGAGATAGAGAAGAAAAAAGGTGAAATTTGGAAGAAAGAAGAAGAGAGAAATGTCGGTAGCACACGCAGACGACGCCGACGATTACAGCAGACCAACGGGAGAGAGTTACCACGCCGAGAAAGCATTACCAAGCGGTGATTTCTACACAGGACAATGGCGAGATAATCTCCCTCACGGTCATGGCAAATACCTTTGGACCGATGGTTGTATGTATGTCGGAGATTGGCACAGAGGCAAAACCATGGGCAAAGGTCGTTTTAGTTGGCCTAGTGGTGCCACCTACGAAGGCGATTTCAAAAACGGTTACATGGACGGCAAAGGTATAATCAATAACCCCCAAAAAAATGTTTCATCTGAATCACAAAGTTTTGATTTTTATTTTCGTTTGAATCAGGTACTTACATTGATTCCTCTGGAGATTTATATAGAGGATCATGGGTGATGAATCTGAGACATGGGCAAGGGACGAAAAGTTACGTCAACGGAGATTGCTACGACGGAGAATGGAGGAGAGGTTTACAAGATGGACATGGCAGGTATCAATGGAAGAACGAGAATCATTACATTGGACAATGGAAGAATGGGTTGATGAATGGTAACGGGACGATGATATGGAGCAACGGGAACCGTTACGATGGCTCTTGGGAAGACGGAGCTCCTAAAGGCAATGGAACTTTCCGATGGTCGGACGGGAGTTTCTACGTCGGAGTTTGGAGCAAAGATCCTAAAGAACAGAACGGGACTTATTACCCTTCGACATCTTCAGGGAATTTTGATTGGCAACCACAACAAGTGTTCTATGTTGATTTGAGTGAATGTGTGGTTTGTACTTGTCAGAGAATCCCGGTTTTGCCATCTCAGAAGATGCCGGTTTGGTACGGTTCTTCGGAGCAGAGTAGTAGTGGGAACAGGACAAAGAACAGTGAGAGGCCGAGGAGGAGATCCGTTGATGGAAGAGTAAGTAATGGTGAAATGGAATTGAGGAATAATGGTTCTGGTTATCTTCAGTTAGATGATAATGCAGAGAGTAATAGATCATCATTAGGGCCTTTGAGAATACAGCCTGCTAAGAAACAAGGACAAACTATCTCTAAAGGTCACAAGAATTATGAACTCATGCTTAACTTGCAGCTCGGAATTAGGTAACCTAGACTTTTTGTGTGTTTTCGATTTGTGTTTGCTTGTTTTGCTTTGTTTGATGTTGAGTGTTTGTTTTTGTTGGGAAGGCATTCTGTTGGAAGACCAGCACCAGCTACATCTCTTGATTTGAAGGCTTCAGCTTTTGATCCAAAGGAGAAACTTTGGACGAAATTTCCATCTGAAGGATCTAAATACACTCCTCCACACCAGTCCTGTGAGTTTAAATGGAAGGATTATTGTCCTGTGGTTTTCAGGTTTGAATCTCTCTTACTTTTGATTTCTTCTCTTGTGGTATTAAGAAAACTGATGAAAATGTTGTGTTTCTCGTGTAGGACTCTGCGTAAATTATTTAGTGTGGACGCAGCAGATTACATGTTATCGATTTGTGGGAATGATGCTCTTAGGGAGCTATCATCTCCAGGGAAAAGTGGAAGCTTTTTCTACTTGACCAACGATGACCGCTACATGATCAAGACTATGAAGAAGGCAGAAACCAAAGTAAGAGCTGAATTTTTACAGCAAATTTTTGTCTTATTAAGATTCACTCAATCTGTTTGTTTTCCCCTTGACAGGTTCTTATAAGGATGCTTCCGGCTTACTACAATCATGTCAGGGCATGTGAAAACACTTTAGTTACCAAGTTCTTCGGTCTTCATTGCGTGAAATTGACTGGCACTGCACAGAAAAAGGTCAATACCCTTTTTGTATTCATGTCTCTGCATTGTTGTTATTAGCATTTTCAATTTGGATGCACTGATGAGAGAATACTTGCACCTGCAGGTTCGATTTGTAATAATGGGTAACCTATTCTGTACTGGTCACTCCATCCATAGGCGGTTTGACCTCAAAGGATCCTCTCATGGCCGTCTTACTACTAAACCAGAGTCCGAAATCGATCCAAACACGACGCTTAAAGATCTTGATCTAAATTTTGCATTCCGATTGCAAAAGAATTGGTTCCAAGAATTCTGCAGGTGTTTGGTTCACTACTTGTAATAAAACTCTTGTTATATATCTCTTTTCACTTCTTTCATTAGTAAACCCAAATTGGAGTGTTTGGTTTTTTAACAGGCAAGTGGACAGAGACTGTGAATTCCTTGAACAAGAGAGAATTATGGATTATAGTCTCTTGGTTGGTCTTCACTTTCGAGAAGCTTCTTTCAAGGACTCTGCCACTCCTACTTCTGGTGCTCGAACCCCGACCGGTAAAATCTTGTCAAATCTTTAACTCAATTTCAGAACTTCCATCTTAAAGCTTGATTGAAGCAACTTCATCATCTTAAGCAGGAAATTCAGATACTCGTCTCTCCCGAGCAGAAATGGACCGGTTTCTTCTTGATGCCAGCAAGTAAAGAACCAAAAATTCAATGTTTATATCGCAAAACCGTAAAAGGGTTTATAACACAAGTGTGGTTCTTGATGATTTTTGCAGGCTAGCATCAATAAAATTGGGTATTAACATGCCTGCAAGAGTTGAAAGAACATCAAGAAGAAGTGACTGTGAGAATCAGCTTGTTGGGGAACCAACAGGTGAATTTTACGATGTGATTCTGTATTTCGGTATTATAGACATTCTCCAAGACTACGACATAAGCAAGAAGCTTGAACATGCCTACAAATCAATGCAGTATGATCCGACATCAATCTCAGCAGTTGATCCAAAGCAATACTCTCGACGTTTCAGGGATTTCATCTTAAGGGTCTTCGTTGAAGACACTTGAGAGAACAATCATTCTAACTTGCACGCCAAGGCCCAACAAAGTTGAGGTTTTTCTTTTTGTTAGAATTTTTCTATATAGAAATATTTGTAAATTTATTATGTTATTTAACCAATTCACCAAAAGTAGAGAAAAATTGATTCTTTTGTAACTAAAGTTCAATACTCTGCCCTTTTTGTTGTTGTTGTTGTTGTTATTCTTTTGTACTGCGTTGCTTCAAACGTGAAAGAAAGTATGTGTACAGATGGTGACTTGTATTTTTTATTCATTACTTTCGTCCAATCTTCATATTTTACTCTTTTTTCATATTATACAACTGAACATGTTTCTAGTTTTCCTCTTTTTTTTTCAAAATTTAAAAGTTGGAACAAGTTGACTTGTAGGTGATAATTAAAGATGTGAGGTTTCTGGTGCTCTACAAGCCAAACTCAAAGTCAATGCTAAAGTCAATATTAGCGCATTACATTCTTGATTTACATAAGAATTGAATAGTTTATTTCTTTTCTTTTTTTTGGATTGTATAGACTTAGCTAATTATATATATCAGGAGTAATTAAGGAGTCATGAGAGAGCATCCTAAAAAAGAAGAGAGTTTAAGGATGTTCATATAATCTAGCTGATTATAATAATCAATGTTCTAGTGAGCTGTGGTTTAAGGCAAAGACAAAAGCTATCTTAATAAAGTTGAAGGAAAAATCAAGGCAAATAGATATATGTGTATTTTTTGCGTAACATATTGCTTTAAATGGGGATGCTGTAGAGAGGAATCTCGAATAGGCATTTGAAAAAGTTGCAGAACTTTTCGTGTGAAAGAGGTATCAGGAAAAGCTAAGATAATGAGTTTGTTCGGGTTTTCCAAAAAGATTCTGCTAAAAAGTAGATGCAAATTTAACTGGGAACAGTCACGTTTAGAAACTCATTTCAAAGACTTGTGAAACAGGATCAAAACTGGTAGTTGTGGCATTTGTCTAGGGTTCCTGCATATGCTTTTGGCTACATGATACTTTTTTCAGTGTGTATCGCCTGATTCAATTGACAATATGACTTCTTGCATGCCTATGATTGCTCCTTTTGGAAGAAGGGTCTTCCAAAAATCACTTATACGGATAGGTCTCGGAGACATGGCATGAATTACTAGCTCTTATCATACTTGATACCTCAATTACTCGACCCATTTTTCAGATAACAAATTTAGAAACTCAAATTACCATACCGACTCATATCCTAAATGTACGTAGAGAGATAGTTTTAAGACTTTCACCTAACGCAACAAAGAGTATAGAGTAAAATAACAAGTCACACGCAAGATCCCATTCCATGCAACAATCTAAACCTTCTCTAACTTAACCTTTGACATCATTTACCAATTATATATCCATCTTGCCTCTTTTTTCTGTTAGCTCTGCCTACTTTCACTGTATGTTGATTCATACTACGTACCAAAACAACATGTTACTTTCTTTTTCGTTAAAAATTTATCATAATTTTAGGTCTTAACATAAATTATATACAATTTTTGTCATCAAAACAGGATCGTGGTACAATTTTGATGGTTTCTCAATAAAATAGTTTTTGCTATTTCTCCTAAAAAAAAATTTGCAATATAATTTAGCTGGAAAATCAAAAAATTTTCCGTTTTTAGTTTTAGGACAATATTGTTAATTCCACCGTAAAAAATACGGAAAATAGATATAAAGGAGAATTTGGTTTCTTACCGAAACACATTAGCACTGACTTTGACCACAATACAATTTCACTACTAAAGAGAAAGAAAATTAAAGTAAATGAGTTGAATAATTTTCTAATTGGCTACGAATTTTGGGCTTCGAACTATCTAAGACCCAGAAAGAGAATTCATATGTATGAAAAGGTAAAAAGGTTGGACTGGAGGAATATCTAACAATGTTGAAGTTAAAGAGCTTTAACCAACAAAACTGCTTTTACTTGAGACTTCTATTTCAGTTATTTGCAGATAACCTAATTCAAAACCAAAGTCAATACTTACTTCTTCATTTAGGCCGCGATTAGCTCTTCCATTTTAAGATTATTTCTTTCTAACGGAGCTCTTCATATTTTGTTTTCCTCCTACTCAAAATTGTCAAACTGTTAGCCAATCTTTTCCCATCACATAAGAAATTTATGGATTTACCAAATATAAACTAAAAGTGTATAATTACTGACGCTACTAAGATGATAAAATAAGATCTTTTTATAACAATATAGATCAAAATAAATTTTCATTGATTACTTTTTAATAAATTGAACGATACATAAACATATTTACCAAACAGTTCAGTAATTAAAATAAGCGTAATTAAACCTAGCTAGCTACAACGTTGAGAAATTGATGCAAGAAGAAACTAAGATTTTCAAAACCTCGAGACCTTTAGTCCAACAGCGAAACATTAAGGTGAACTCAAATCTTAAGAATTGCTATGAGTATGTAAGTATTGAGTGCTTGGTGGGAAATCCACATTATCTAATCTATTAGGAGTGGTATAGGCGTACAACATGACGTCAAAGAAATTAAGAACGTTTCAGAGCAAAAAAAAAAAAAAAAAAAGCTATAGTAACTTGTTTTATAAAGACAAAAGTTTGTTCTAAGGATACAAAACGACTTTTTTTGTGAAAGTTTTAAATTTCGTTTTAATATGATCATAGATTCTTTTTTCAATAAAGATATTGATGCAATTGATGGCTTTCAGCTGTAAAATTTTAGTTTAATTATTAATTTATTATACAATTTGGTGTCGCCGTTTCGAAGTTTTAATTTCGATGCAAAGACGATTGTATGAATTGATCAATGAGCACTGCTAACTGCTGAGATATCGATTCCGACCATGTCCTAGTACAAAGAAATAAAAACCCTTCATTAATTAAATATATCAATTAGTATTCCTTAAAGTGGCTTTAATGTGTATTTGATCGACTTAAATAAACCTGGTTGTGTTAATTGTTTGGAAACGATTTGAGTAATGAAAATAATGAGGAATTATAACGAACATTTTCCTCTGATTTTCTACAAGAAAAAATAGGTGATATTCAACTAAATCTCTTTGATCAAATACTTCTTTGTCTCTCTCTCTTCTCTATAAATACAAGCACTTTTGCATTCTCCATGACACATCATTCACTCATCTCTTTCCTCATAATTCTTTCTACGTCAAACCCAACCTTAATCTAACTTTGAGAGAACCCACTCCAAAAAACAAAACAAAAAATGTATGAAAAGATCATAATCATATCAGTATTCCTCTTAACATTTCTTCCTTCTTGTTTCAGCAGCTACCCATTTAATCATAGAGATGATCTTTTCATGTCTTCTAATGTTTATTATGAAACCAATCGACAACATCAACATGGTCACAATACACGCAACAGTCACTTGAAAAATCGCCATGGTTATGCTCCTGGATCTTCTCCTCGAGCTTTTAACGTCAACACTTTTGGTGCTAAAGCCAACGGAAACGACGATTCTAAGGTTTTGATCCATATTATTTGTTTCTATATATAGCATTATAATCCAATATCTACAACCATATAAATGAAATCTATGTTTGAGCCGTAGGCATTCATGAAAGCCTGGGAAGCAGCTTGTTCATCGACTGGAATAGTTTACGTTGTGGTTCCAAACAATAGAGATTACATGCTTAAATCGGTTACATTCTCTGGTCCATGTAAATCAACCTTGATTATTTTTAAGGTATATGGTTTAAACCACTGCAAGTATAGGCCAAATTATTATTGTATAATGTTTCTTCCTCTCTTATAACTTTTTTTTTGTGTGTGAATTAGATTTACGGAATGATTGAGGCATGGAAAAATCCATCAGACTACAAGGAACGTAGGCATTGGATTGTGTTCGAAAATGTCGATAACCTTCGAGTTGAAGGAGGTGGCCGCATCGACGGTAATGGACATATTTGGTGGCCAAACTCTTGCAAAATCAACCCTCAACTTGTAAGTTCTTCTCTACATAGGATCAGTGTCATTAAAAAAACTTAAAGTAAATAAACTGACTAGTTAAATTTATTTTATAAAACAGCCATGCCTGGGAGCTCCAACGGTGAGAATCTCAAACGCCTAACTTGTTTTCGATCTTTAATTTTAGTTCTTATAAATATATACTTACAATGTAGCTATAAAAAAATGTAATTAATTAATGTAATGAAATAAATTGGCAGGCAGTTACGTTTGTGGAGTGTAATAACTTGAGAGTTAGTAACATTAGGTTGGAAAACGCACAGCAAATGCATTTGACGTTCCAAGACTGCAAAAACGTGAAGGCTTTGAATCTTATGGTCACATCTCCGGCTGATAGTCCTAACACCGATGGCATTCACGTTACCGGAACTCAAAATATCTTAATTCAAGACTCTATCGTCCGTACTGGTATATTGATTAATGACCCATCTTATAATATAATTGTTGTTTTGACATTCGCATGCAAATTAGTGAATAAATTAGATATTTTGATATATTTTACAAAAGGTTTGAAATTTTTGTTATATTTTAGTATTATTTATAATTAGATGTTTCTTTCTCTAAAAAGTTTTATTTATTCATTAGTGGATAATAAATAGTAATGTGTTGGGTTTGTTTTTGGTGATATATGAAGGTGATGATTGTATATCGATAGTGAGTGGGTCGGAGAATGTGAGAGCGACAGGCATTACATGCGGCCCGGGTCATGGAATCAGGTCTAACCATCTCTCTCCCTAATTTCACCTAAACTTTTTGTTTTTGTCTTATTTTAAGCAACATACTATGTGCAACATTCTATATCTTTGTTGGATAACTATCAACTAATTTTTATCAACTTCAATCGGAGAATTTTTATTATAAATGCCCATCTTTTTTTTAATGAGTAAAGGATATATATATGAAGCATGCTCAAAATCATTTGTAATTTAAGATATTAACGAAAAAGAAAAATGTAATGTTTTTAAATGGAGTTAGGCGTTCTAAGTTCTAACGCTAGCATATGTGTTAACTAAAGCATAATCTGGTCATTGATAATTTGTTTATTTACATGGAAAACAGCATTGGAAGTTTGGGAGAAGATAACTCAGAAGCATATGTATCAAATGTGGTAGTCAACAAAGCGACTCTTATAGGAACCACTAATGGTGTGAGAATCAAGACTTGGCAGGTAAATGATCAATATCTTTTGTTTATAAAATAATTATTACTAAGAAAAGGATAAAAGAAAAATATGACAATTATTAATGTATGTATCAGGGAGGACATGGAATGGCAAAGAACATCATATTCCAAGACATCATAATGAAAAACGTTACAAACCCAATAATCATCAACCAGGACTACTGCGATCGTGTTGAATCATGTCCCGAACAGGTTTGAAACAACTTAAACATAACAAATCTTTTCAACACAATTAGTGTAATAATAATAACAAAACTGAAAGATTGGAACACGTGGCAGAAATCGGCGGTACAAGTGAGCAATGTGTTGTACAAAAACATACAAGGGACGAGCTCAAGACCCATAGCGGTGAAATTTGTATGCAGCAAGAGCATTCCATGTCGAGGAATATCAATGCAAAACGTTAAATTGGTCGATCAAACTCAACAAGATGTATCCACAGCTTCTTGCTCCAATGTGAAGTTGGACACCCGAGGAAATGTTTCTCCTCTTTGCACTTAATCACTTTTGATCCTCAAGAAAACAACAGTATTCACCGATCGATTATAGTCTATTTCTATATGCTTACGTAATTTGGTCGGTGATTTCTGTATATGTATAGTATCAATATAGTCCATGTTTGAAGTGTAGGTTTTTATGGAGATTAATTGATATACGAAATGGGATTGTAAGGTATTATCTTAGTTAGAAGTAAAACAAATGTGATTGATTTCTGAACTATTTGAAGTCTGTCCTGCTTCTAGAGTTGTATTCGACCAAGCCAAATTTCGAAAATAACAATTAAACTAGCTTTTTCTCATTCATTTATGATCACATCCACATTAAAAAAAAAAAAAAAAAGGATTAAAATATTACAAAAACCATTCCTCTAAAAAATTATTCTGTTGAGGAATACTATATTACAAAAACCAGAAGTGTTGGCATCTCTCGAGAAGTAAAAAAACACACAAGAGAGACACAACCCAACAATTACAAGTCTGTTGTAAAATGGAAGAATGATATACACTTTGCTGGGTGAATTTTCTTCCTGCAAAAATGAGAATAAATGTACATTCACAAGACGGTGTTGATGTGAAGTGCTTTGAGGAGAGATGTTGCCATTTGCTTCACCAGAACTTGGCCTCCTGAACGTTGTCCATGACGTCGTTCTTCAATCAGATTCTGCAGTTTCTGAGGAAGATCGTTCTCTACGATCAGCTGTTTTGGCTTTGGATGCTTCTCGTAAACAGCCTGTTTCCAATGATCGCCAAACCAAACACTTAACACCCAGAAGAAGACGAACAAGAACTTGGATAATCAAATGATCCATTACCTTAATGAGTTTCAGGAGGTTAAGTCGAGCAATCGCATCTTGGTGGTCTAGTCTTGAAATAAGTAGCGGAGTCAATCCATTTAATGCTAATGTCTTATTAATTGAAGATGATTTCCTGGATTCAACAAAGACAAGGATTAGCTCCATACTCATAGTTCTAACTAATTTTGAAAGGATAGATAATCTATTAAAAAGAGGAGAGATACATACATGATGATCTTCAAGAATGGCTCCAAAATGTGCACAAAATGTCTTTCTGGACAGTTCTGGAAGAAGTTAACTAATTTCTGAATTGCATCTTTCTTGAGAAACGCCTGCTCAACCTTGTGGTCAATGTCATGCGCCAAGCAAACAGCAATTGAATCCAAGGCTATCACGGACCAATATTCATCATCGAGTAAACTCAGGTAAACATCCAGACCGCCGTGGGCCCTTAACTGCTCTCTTGAATTCCGAGATGCATGAGCCATATCACATAGTAGTGGCAATGCATATTGTTTCAGAGGAGAATCCGACATGACGAAGAGCATCAGGTACGGAATGATTCCATTTTCAGCCGCTTGTTCCTGCCTCCTCTTGTTTATCTTGCAGAGGTTGAATAGTGCACTAAGTACCTACATAACATTACCATTTTAGAAACGTCGGTTTGGGTGTAACCGACAGACAAAAGCTATCTCCATACAAGTCAAGAAGGTAACCTCATGATGGATCTGATAAACAAGATGCCCTTCCTTAAGCTCAAGGTTGGGGATCAATTGCTTAATTGCATCTGCACGCTGAAGATTTTCCAAGCAATTTGGATCCGTAGATAAATGATTGGTGCATTCCAGTATCTGGACAAACAAAGGTATTGTAAACATACGACCTGAAGATCCTCTAAACCACACATCCAAGCTTTTCCAAAGAGAAAACAGAAAAATTATATGAAGCACTATCGAAGAAGAAAAAAAACAAAAATAATATTTTGGAGTACCTTTAACAGAATAGGAGGTTCCACACGGTTGAACATCTGGAAAAGACGACTGAGTAAGCTTTGGCTGCACATGTATGATTTTACTGTCGTTTCAGCTCGGGCAAATTCGAGAAGCAGATCAGCCACTTTCTCCAAGTAATCCATTGAGACATCTGCACTCAGCGCATGGGCAAGTAAACCAGATGATGTAGTACTTCCAGCTCTAGCATTTAAAACACCTGAACCTGACAGAACACTAGATACTGTCTGAGATGCAATCCCACACGCAGAAGCGACTCTTTCAATAGCCATAACCTTCTTAGTCATCGTCTTACTGGAATATCTAGCTGCAGTATCGAGATTTCCCTTTTCCTTTCCACGTCCAGAGATTCCTGAAGAAACAATGCAATCATATGGCACAAGCAAAAACATCATATATGTGCTTAGAATATGAAAAGTCTTCCTAAATATAAAACTTAAGAAAATTACCTAATTCGGCCATTATAAATTCTAGGTCTCCACTGGTTTTCTTTACGTCTGATGCATACAAAAGAGGAAGTCTACTTTCATGTCTCTCTATGCCAGTGATATGCTTCACGTAATCCAGTTGACCAGAAAATTTTCTTGAAGGGGGTTCTTTCTCTAATAAGCTAAGCAAAGGTCGAACTTGATCTGGCTGAGTAACAGGAAAACCATTAGACGCACCCTCCGCTAGTTTCTGAAGCTTATCTGTTGATGTTCTATTGGCAGAAAGAGATATCCTATGTTGTTGTATAACATCTTCTGTGGTATCTGCTGCAACACTGCTTAATCTAGGCCTATCACCATCTAGGTGCAAGGCATCGGGTTGATGGACATCTGATCTTTGAGAACTTGAAGTTAAAGCATGAGAAGGCTCTTCACCACCCCCATTCCTAGTTTTCAACCCATCAGGATGATCAATCACACTAGGTGAAGTCTCACGCTGACTAAAGATAGGATTGTTAGGGTCAAGTTGACCAGAGCGTGCTCGTGGAGTTTGACTATCCAAAATCAATGCGTCCCCTGATATAGAAGCCAGTCGAGTTGCCTCACTCAAGCTATATAGAGTGTTGACTAGCCTAAGAAGAATTCCATTCTTTGCAGCAATACGGCAGAAATCATTTCTAGAGGTGGATCTTTTGAGTTTAAATACCTGCCACATCCCATCAATAGCCAAGTGAACCATCTCCCTGGACAGAAAAGCTCAAATCAGTTTGAACTTAGTAGCACATAAAGAGCGAAAAGGACCAGAAATGATTAAAGTGAGAAGAGCCAAATCAACAAAATGGTCAGCTATTGAGAAATGCATGAGCCATTTTCAATAGTAGAAACACATATCACATAAATTAGGCAGGACGAGGGGTTCAAAACAAAATCAGATGCTGCTGGGATGGGTAATAGCCTAGGAATCACTGTGTGGGATAAATTCAAAGTTCTTGTGATGATATACTCATATATCTCACATTAGTTTCAGCACTTTATATATTGAAACTAGTCCATACACTGTAAGAAGATTGTAAACTTTACTCACCTGTGTTTGGCATAATCTGCTTCAAGAAATCCCACCAAAACGGGTATTCCACGGCAAGCTATGAACATTTGCAACGTCAAGGGGCTGTAAAGAAGCTACCATATCACCTATATGACTTGCAGAAAAGGAAAAAAAAAAGAAGAGAGAGAGAGAGAGAGAGAGAGAGAAGCAAAGTAATATATATTTGATGAGTCGCAACCTTGACTGACAAATCTGCTGCAAGAAGTAGGCTGCTTCCTTACGAATTTCTCGAGATCGATCCCTCTCAAAACCAGCAAAACTCATTACCAAAGGAATCTGCCATTTCACAAGGAATAATCAATTATTATGGGATTTTGTTGTCTATATGAGACATCATGAAAACTTAGGTGATAAGATAACAACATCATGGGTATATTATTATTATCTACGAATTTTCCCAAAAAGGTATTAGCTGTTGAATTGGATGTTTGACATTTAATATAGAAATGCAGACATGAGCCTTTGTCAAACAAATATGCCGGTTCCAACGAACTACTGGTGAATCATCAAGTCAGCAACCAAATTGAGAGTAGGACTTACAAGACCAACGAGACAAGCATTTTCCAGGAAGTCGGTATTATCTTTTACAATTTCGTTTATCAGCTGCAGCACGGCACATATTACCTGAAACACCAAAAAAGATTCACAAGCATCAGCCAACTACTGATAATGAAGGAAAACAAAAAATCCTGCATGATTACAACTAAACATACTCGAGATTTAGGAATATCAAGTAGATCCATTAGAGGGAGGAAACCATGCTGTGTCACAAATACTGCTTTCTGCCCACGTCTCTGACGAAACATGGCAACAAGTTTCAAAGAGGAATTTACTATTGCATCTTCTGATTCATCTGGCCTTAAGGAGCTCACCAATCTGCTGAACTCGACTGCCTATAAAAACTTAACCAATTAATGAATAAGATTTAAATGCGCACAAAAAAATGGAAACAACTAAAATTGAGTTGAGAAGCCACAGTTTCCTTTTCAACATCTAATTGCAAATTGTCATTCTCTGAGTATGAAATGGCTCGGTTAAGTAGAATTAGCATGAGATAAAATGATAAAAGATTGCTAAAAGTTCAGGATATAAATTTGCAGAATACCTGCAGAGGAAAAAGATTCTCCGGGGGCACTTTTTCATCAAATACCTGAGAAACAAAATACGAAATACATTAACAGTATAACTCTTGATTTATCAAACCTGCATACTTGAGACAGAGCATACCAAGTCATCGATGTTAAGAACATCATCTTTCAAAACACCCATCATTAAGCGGAAAAGATCACCACCATCTTGAGAGTGCCCCGTTTCACCCTCCATTTGCTTCTGAGCAATTCTAGCCCTCAATTTCGTTGCCAGATCATTCTTTCCACCATCTGCAGCAGGAGAATCACCCTGATTTACATTTGTAGTAGGCGTCGATGTTGAGGCTTCATTTGGTTTTCCCTCAGGAACTTTATCCAGTGAATGAAACAAATCATGCAAAGAAGCATCCCCAGGAGGATCACTGAATCTGGTCAGTTCATTCCCACCAAAACTAGATGGAGTCTTCACAGCCTTTAAGATAGAAATAACAAGCATAACCGATCTAGTTAGTTTGCAAGCCACAGCCAACAAAAACCAAATATATCTCACTACAGAAGCCTCTAAAGTGAAATACGCTAAAAAGTATCTATTGCAGTACAAGCTCAGCAAACTGTTTTGTTTTGGACTTTTGGTCAGTAAGGAAAAAGGAACTTATCAATTTACTCGACATACAAAGCAAAGCATACTTACTCGTGATTGACCATATCATCTAAGAAAGTGCTAGGGCAAGAATGACGTAACAAAACAAAACTGACCTTTCGAAGCCCAACTTCACCTTTTTGGCTAAAACTATGTGATGACTGCGCCACCTGGACAGAATATTCTTTTCCAACCAGCTTTGTTGCTAAAGTATTCCTTCTACCTTCAGAAGCTTCCTTTTCAAGATTTCCAGGTATTTCATCACGTTCAGATGTCTCATGGTTCTCTAATACATCTTGAGATGTCCCCTTTGCATCCGAAGAAATACTGCAAGTACCGGATTGACGAGAAGACTGATCGTGCGTAGACAATGTAGGACCTAGATCTGAATTAAGATAATCTTCTGCATCCGTTCCTTCTTCACCGAGATCACTGGGTGAAGACTGATCTTTCTCAGACCTAAAACTCTCCACACCTATAACAGGCAATTTGCTTTTCGAGTTCTGGACAAAAAAAAAATGGATCAGTAGCTTTAGCAAAGTTCATCTCTAGCTTTAATGCATTATACTGCTCATCTCTAAATTCCTTATCGGCATCTCCAAAAGATTAATTGATAATAGAGATAATGAAATCTTACAGTTTTTGTCACCTCCACTTTTTCTGCTGAAAAGCTTTCAGCTACTTCTTGACTACCTTCATCATCCTTCTCTGAACTTGAATCGGGTTCCTTCATATATCTGCAAAAGGATGAAGTGCTCAAATACAGGATTACAGGTTAGTGCAAGCAAGGAACACTTGTACTAAACCCTTAGATAAGATAGATGATAAAATTTGAAATATTCTTCCAAAAGTTAACGTAAAGACACAGGTTCTCACCTGATGGTTCCACTATGCCGAAGTGATGACCGCAATGCTCGTTTTGAGTTACGTATCCAAGGGTGCGAGAGAAGTGTCTTTGCATCAGGCCTCTGCCTGGAATCCTGTAAATGCAAGATACAAATCAGATGAACATACTGGATATTAAATAAATCAAAATGCCTAGGTTCCGGTACAGAGGTAAGTAGAGTGATTAAACACTATTGCAGCAAAATATACCTTCTTGAAGCACAGTCGTAGGAAGTCTGTAAGATCGGGAGATAGACTATCAGGAATGGGAGGGGTATCATCCTGAAACAGAAAAGGCAATAATTTAAAATTATTGCTAACAGCTTTTGCATTATTGCAGGAGAGAAGTGATTTACAACAAGGAATAATAGGAATTGGGGGGAAGGAAGAGAAACCTAAATTCAATTGACTTTAGCAAACTCGTAAAATGATGGAAAAACCTGAACAATGCGATAGAGGGCTGGCATGGGTTGCAGATCATAGTAAGGAGGTACACACGTCAAAAGTTCAATAATAGTGCACCCAACACTCCAAATGTCAGAAGCAGCACAAACTCCTGACAATTCAATAACCTGAAACAAAATTTGGGTGTCCGTCAGTACACACATAATCAGTTAAAAGTTGCTAAAGGAGAAAACAACATCCTTTTGGCAGAATAAGAACAAATTCCAATTTCAGAAACTACATATGGAATTTGACCTATACAGAATATGATGGTGGAAGATACATATATATTATCAAAGGTGTACCTCCGGAGCCATCCAGTATGGAGTTCCGACCACTGAGTGAGTGTTGAAATCAGCCTCGTTGAGTTTTGTGGCAACTCCAAAATCAGCAAGCTTAACAAGGCCCTGAAGTATAATATAGTCAAGTAATAGCCTAGAAGAATTTTTTACATCCCAACACAACAGATCTTGAAACAAAAAAGCGTACCAAAGACATGAGAATAACTAATAAGATCCACAAGGTACAGTAAAACACACCTCCTTGGTTGTCAAAATATTTGCACCCTTGATATCACGATGTATGACACCCTGCTCATGCAGATATACTAAACCTTCCAAGACCTGTATTCACTAGTTAGTACATAAATGTTTAAAAAAACTTCACTCAACTAGAAAAAGATATATACGGACCTGTGCAATGTAAACAGTCACCAACGACTCAGGGAAAGGTCCAAATTTATTTGGTTTAATAATGTTTGCAAGAGAGCCATTCTCAACATACCTGGAAACACATAATTGGACTTTAAAACCCAGACCGTAGTCCAGCGTGGACCAAATATAAACAAAAAAGTATTACTTACTCCAGAATAATGTGAAGGTGAGTCTTTGTCTTCAACGATCCAAGATACTTGACAATGTTTTTATGGTTCAAGTTCTGCATTGAAATATCATCTTACAAGGCATAGAGGAAGATTGCATCTTAACCAGCATAACCACTAATGAGATGACGCCAAAGTTCACAAGGTGATTGATACTACATTGCTTAGCATCAGGATCCCAGGTTTGTAACACAATAATTTCCACAATTCCGAAACAGGGTCAAGCTCAACATTGAATAGGACAATTCACATAAACATACCAGTCCCAAGTCAATGCTAAAAAGCTAAAGAAATGTGTAATGGAAGAAAGAAGCTACCTTTAGGAGATCGATTTCTTGCTGATGAAATTTCTCCCAACAACCAAGAAGCATCAAAAACAGGATTCAGTCAGCATAGCAGTGGTATGGAGATGAGAGATCACATTTAGTCCATAAAGGCAACGAAGATAGATACAACAAATGAAGTAACAAACCATGATGGTGTTAAGATCCTCTTGACCAATATTTTCCAAAGAGACTTGTTTAATGGCAACAAAGTCACAATTCTCCAGGTCTAATCCTATATAAACCCGAGCATAAGCTCCTTTACCAATTTCATCTCCAAGCATCTGCGTTCAAAAGTCAAAAAGAACAAACCTTGGAGTAGTGAGTCCACAAAGATTTCAAATTTGTAGGAGCAAAAGCTAAATTAGTAAGAATAAACCCAGAATTGCGGAAGAAGAAAAAAGCTCACATATTTGTTGTCGAGAGTCTTTGATTTGTGGAACTGGGATGACGTCATCTGTCGCGCCATCTCTTTCTCGTCAGCATCAAACAAAATTGCAACTCAAGGAATTTGATCCATTTTTTTACGAGGGAAAAATCACATTAATTAGGGTTTTTAATCTTGACAAAATTTGTAAGAATTTAGATGTGTTTGAAGATCAAATGCCAGCCCTAACAAATTTAATAAAAATTAAACAAATTTTTAAGTTTTTTTGGTTGGGAAATTGACGAACTGTATCAGCGGAAGAATACTTTTGTCGATTTCTCAGGCGCCAGTATCCTTCTTTTATTTTAAGGTCCTTACTTTTTTCTTTCTTTACGTTTTCACCCCTTTATTCCCAAAATTGTAAATAAACCTTAAAAGCTCTTGGAATAATCTTACAAATTTATTTCTGAATTCGAAATTCTTAGAAATGACAATGCAAGCAAAAAGAAGAAGATGGAGATATGATCAATCATACCTCTTTTCTTTGGACACGGCAAAAGGAAAAGTTTCGCTGCTTCGAGTTAAGTTGATTATGTTTTCGAAAGTATTTGTTCATCATTTGAGTGAGCTGAGTTAAACAACTGTATTGGTGAATTCGATTATTGTTTCGATGATTTTTTCATTAGTGTAAGTTTCCATTAGTTATATAGAGAATCTATGTGGCTAGTATTAATGTCTTATCAACAACTTAGATTTGAAAATTTACTATAACGTTTTTAATTGGCGGAATTAGGATAAAACAAGTTTTAATTGGCGGAATTAAGATAATCAGATATCTTTTGGATAATTGAATGTTTATAGCCAATCAAAATTGTAATTTTCGGAAACAAATTTACTTTTCGACAAAATATATAATAATTCTATCACATGTTTATCAACAACAATTTAAAATTGAACCGAACTGAACCGACATGATTGATCATTTTTTTCGTATCATAATTTTGAGTGGAAACAAATCATATCCAATTTCTCTGCCCAAAAAACATATCACAACACTCAGCTATTTACACATTTACATCGCTAATGTAAAAAAAAAAAAAAATTTGGATAGTAAACTGTCAAACAACAAAACACTCAAAAGTAATGCTAATTTTTAGAAAACACAATTAAGACAGTTATATTATAGCCTCAAGAAAAATCAGGCATGCCCATGATGTCAGACCTGAATAATGTCGGACAAAAAAGCCCCTCCTAGAATTGGGGGGTAAAAATATGAAAAGACTGAAGTAAAAAGATTTTTTTTTCTTTTGACCAAACAAAAATAAAAAGTTGATGAGTATCGGAAGACAGTAGTACTGTAGTAGTGCGCTGTTCTGTTAAGTAACTGTAAGGTTTGACTTGGAGAAAAATTAAATGTGTCTCTAAAAGAAGTTCCAAATCGTGAGGAAATTCAGAGTTCCATCAGATCTAACTCTCTTAGATCTGATTTTCATGGATTACTCTTTTCTTCTAATCATTCTCCTACTCACAATCTCTTCTTCATGTAATGCTTCTTATGTGGAAGAACAATTGAGAGACAGAATCAGTAAGTTACCTGGACAACCTAGTAATGTCGATTTTAGACAGTACTCAGGCTATGTCACTGTGAATGAAGTACGTGGAAGGGCTTTGTTCTACTGGTTGGTCGAGTCTCCATCGACCCGTGACCCAAAGTTTAGACCTTTGGTTCTGTGGCTCAATGGTGGCCCTGGTTGTTCTTCTGTTGCTTATGGTGCTGCTGAAGAAATTGGACCTTTTCGTGTTGGTTCTGATGGCAAGACTCTTCATCCCAAACTTTATGCTTGGAATCAATGTAACATCTTTTTCTCTAAATCTCTGGCACCATTATTTGCTCTTCTCTTCACAATTCCGATTCCGATTTGCTCTCTCTGTCTCTCAGTGGCAAACCTGCTATTCTTGGAGTCTCCAGCTGGAGTTGGTTTCTCATATTCAAACACAACTTCAGATCTTTACACAACCGGTGATCAGAGAACTGGTTCTGCTCCTTGAATCTTTTTTTGTCTGAATTTTAATCAGACTACCTTGAGCTTTAATTAATGTCGTGTTGTCTTGATGAATCTGTAGCTGAAGATTCGTATAGATTTCTTGTCAACTGGTTTGAGAGGTTTCCACAATACAAACATAGGGATTTTTACATTGTTGGAGAAAGCTATGCAGGTTTCAGTTTCTACCTTCAAGCTCTCATCAATTACATTCAAATGGCTGATGTCTTAGTCTTGAGTTTCTCTCTTGGGCAGGTCATTTTGTTCCTCAATTGTCTAAACTTGTCCATGAAAGAAACAAGGGCTTCAAGAACCCGGCTATAAACCTCAAAGGTTTTATGGTAAAGATTTGAAAAACTTTCAGACTTTTTACAAGTTTATGAACTTTGGGATTTTTAAAAGTCTGCTTATCCAGGTGGGAAATGCTGTTACAGATGACTATCATGATTATATAGGAACATTTGAATATTGGTGGAATCATGGTCTCATATCCGATTCAACGTATCACCAACTAAAGACCGCGTGCTACTCAGAATCATCTCAGCATCCTTCACTGCAGTGTATGGTGGCTCTGAGAAATGCCGAACTAGAGCAAGGAAATATCGATCCGTATAGCATTTTCACCAAACCTTGCAACAGTACTGTAGCACTTAAGAGCTTCTTAAAGGGTCGCTACGTAAGTTTCACACATCCGAAAGCATTTTCAGATTGGTTTTGTTGTTTGTTTCTTTGGACTAATATGCTACAACTTTGTATTGTTAACTCAGCCATGGATGTCAAGAGCTTATGATCCTTGTACAGAGAGATATTCGAATGTGTACTTTAACCGTGCGGACGTTCAGAAGGCTCTCCACGCAAACGTCACTCGCTTACCTTACCCCTGGAAAGCATGCAGGTCAGCTGAAAACAAAGTTTGATTTCTGGTTGTTTTTAAAGGTATAAAACTTTGATTGAGATTTTGAGTTTTTTTTTTTTTTCTCTTGCAGTGACATTGTAGGAAGCTATTGGGAAGATTCTCCTCTGTCTATGCTTCCTATATACAGAGAATTGATTACTGCAGGTCTCAAAATATGGATCTTCAGGTACCAATTTTGTATTGAACTTTGTGATGTTCACTTTAGGAAATGAACGATTACAGATGAGACTAGTGTAGATGTATGTAAAGTCTTGATTACAAATGAAGATTTCTTGATCAATCTCCCTACATAATATGCAGTGGGGATACAGATGCGGTTGTTCCTGTAACCGCTACCCGATACTCTGTAGATGCACTGAAGCTAGCAACGATCACGAACTGGTACCCGTGGTACGACCATGGCAAGGTAAAGAAATTGGAGTTTTCTCATGTTAATATCTACGCATAATATTCAGATATTGATTTGAGGGGCATTGTATTGTAATTTTTAGGTAGGTGGGTGGAGTCAAGTTTACAAAGGACTTACATTAGTGACAGTAGCAGGAGCTGGTCATGAAGTGCCTTTACACCGTCCCCGTCAAGCATTTATTCTTTTCAGATCCTTTTTAGATAGCAAACCAATGCCTATGACCTGAGATCAAACCTTGAATGGACCACTTCTCCAAATTCCTATTCTTTCTTCTTCATCATCAATAAACCAAGTGTTTCTTCATTCACTGTCTTCCTCAATCCTCAGTGCATCCAAACTCAACACACGACTTAAATTAGCTGTCTAGTACAAATCGTAAGCCACTCTTCATTTTTTTTGTGTAAAATCGTTGTCTCAAACAGTTTTTCTATCTTTTCTCCATTATTGTATCATTGTATGATACAAAGCAAAGTCTTTCACACTACAAATCATAATACTATATGATAGTTTATAGACTTCGATTCCACAACAAAGATCCAACCATGAACTTGTACAACAATGCTGACTCTTGTCATTTGGTTTAAGTCTCTACGAGATGCTGCCATCACTTGAAGACTCGTTCTCTGTCTCTCTTTGATTTCCCAAGACGTGGAACAACCACAGGACCACCACGTACTCTTTCAAGGGCAAAACTTATTCTCAACGGCCGACCCAATAATCCCTACAACAGAGAGAATCACTTAAGAAACCATTCATAGTGATAGGAACACAAATCCTTTTTCTTTTTGGTTTTACCTTTCCATCCATGGCGTCTTTTGCAGATAGAGCATCACCTTCCTCTGCAAAATCAACAAAACCAAATCCTCTTGATCTCCCACTTCCTTTGTCGTACGCAATCCTAACTGAGAACACATTTATATTTGACACATTAAAGAATCTAAATAGGATTAGATAAATCTACAAAGTACAAAGGATCAGATAAATCCATAAATTCCCAAAATTCATAACCAAAGACTCATTCAGACATTTCATCGAACACCTGGAGGAGTTTATAGAAGAAAAATACCTTCTGCAACCTCTCCAAAGGAAGAGAAAGCGTCTTTGAGAGATTGCTCATCCACAGAGCAGGACAATCCTGCATACTTACGGGTATCAAAATCATTTATTTTCATCTAAATATGTAAATGTGGGTATTTTGTTATAATACTAACTCATTCGAACCTCCGATGAATAGCTTGGAACTGGGGGATGCAGAAGAAGAAGTGCAAAATTGAGGAAGAAAATGGGAGCTAGAAGAAATCGAGTGTTGAGGTATCGCTGAAACTCGTCTCACTAATAGCTCAATACCATTCCTCATCGTCATGATCAATTTATAACACTTGTTTCTTCAAAATTAAGCTTTGTTTTGGCTTGAAGTTTTTTCAATTTATATATATATATATAAGTAACCACCAAAAAAAAAAAGAGCCAAATAAAAATATTATTTTTATTATTGAAATATCTTTGTGGATGAGGAAGGAGTAACCGAAAAGGATAAATCGTTTCTTCTTCTTCTTCTTCTTCTTCTATTCTTCGTGCTAAAGCTTACTCCTTTTCAATGGCGACGTTAGGCTTTAACACCACTCGAATCCAGACACCATCACTTCCGAGAATCCCTAAACCTTCTTCTTTTACTAAACCCATCAAAACTCATCATCTCTTCTCCTCCGAAACTCTGTTGAAACGCTGTCGTTTCGTGTCTAGATCGTTGCCTGAGAGCTCACTGTCGATTACAAAAGAACAAGAGGTAGCTAATGAAGTAGAGGAAGATGATCCAACGTCGGAGCTTAGTTATCTGGATCCGGAATCCGATGCCGATAGCATCAAAGAGTGGGAATTGGATTTCTGCTCGAGGCCAATTCTTGATTCCAGAGGGAAAAAGATTTGGGAGCTTGTGGTTTGTGATGCTTCACTCTCCCTTCAAGTCACTAAATACTTCCCCAATAATGTCATTAATAGTATTACCCTCAAAGACGCCATTGTTACCATCACTCAAGACTTGGGTGTTCCTCTTCCTGAGAAGATTCGCTTCTTCAGGTACTAAAGGAGTAGTCTTTTTTTCTTTTTCTTAGTAAATAGAAATGTAATCTAATGGTTTAAGTTGGTTTTGTAGGTCACAGATGCAAACCATTATCACAAAAGCTTGCAAAGAGCTTGCCATAAAGGCAGTGCCTAGTAAACGGGTGAGTTACATTTTTTTGTTTACTTGTTTTACTTCTATGTTAGAAGAACAAGTTGATAAACAAAACTAAATCTCTGTATTACAGTGTCTGTCTCTGTTTCTTTGGTTGCAAGAACGTTATGACACTGTGTACACGCGTCATCCCGGGTTTCAAAAGGGATCATTGCCTCTTCTGTCTCTAGACAATCCCTTTCCAATGAATCTTCCGGAGAACTTGTTTGGGGAGAAATGGGCATTTGTTCAACTACCTTACTCAGCTGTTAGAGAGGAGATCTCAGACTTTGAGGAGAAGTTTGTGTTTGGTGCTACCTTAGACTTGGATTTGCTTGGCATTGAAGTGGATGAAAATACACTGATTCCTGGTCTCTCTGTTGCTACTTCACGAGCGAAACCTCTAGCAGGTAAATGTGTGGTTTCTTGTTAGACCATCTTTTGGAACAAGTTAGTTTTGTTGTTGAAAGTGGTTTTTGATTCTGAGTTTTATACTTGATCATTATAGCTTGGATGAATGGGCTTGAAGTATGTTCGATTGAAGCAGACAGTTCCAAAGGATGTTTGATTCTATCTGTTGGGATCGCGACAAGGTATGTCTACGCAACCTACAAGAAGACACCTGTTACTACTGATGAAGCTGAAGCTTGGGAATCTGCAAAGAAAGCAAGTGGAGGTTTGCATTTTCTTGCAATTCAAGATGACTTAGATTCTGATGACTGTGTTGGCTTTTGGCTTCTTATTGATTTGCCACCACCCCCTGTTTGATTTCCCCTTCGATATATGTTTATACCATATTTTGCCGTCTAGTAACAAAGATTTCTCACAAGCTTGAATTTGAACAAATTGTTACATGAGTCTGCAAAAACTACGGACCTAGGAAGTGAGTAAGTTACAGGGAACGACCAATTGAGTCTTAACCAGATCATAGCTACCTTCAATACCACAAGTAATATCTACACAGTTTGGCACTTTCCATCTTACTGATAATTACCACCAGAAAGACCTATAAAAGTATGAAATGCCCCAACAATCAAATCTTCTTCATGGCTCGCACGCAGAAAGTTAGTGACTAAAGCACTGCTCGATGGTCCAATCAGCTCCTCGACCTCTTTTGCTTTTGCGGTATGAAGCGGACACTGTGCTTCCCAAGTTCAAATGTCTTGATGCTTCCATCATCTAGAGAAACCGACAATGTGGATGTGTCTCCAGAAACATCTGTCACTGTTCCCTTATGCCTTTAACAGTAAACGTATTATTCATTTTAGACATTTGGCTTTGGATACAATAAGCAGGCCAACCACAGTTGCTAAATTAGTTAAGACGATCAACTTACCATGAGTTTTGAGATCCATGGACTTCGACTCTCTTTCCTATTGAATCTTTACCCAACTTTTTCAAAATCCAGTTAGCATCCATCATCTCGTCGTTCCTTGAACTATCCTGATGAGAATGTGTTGTAGCTTCACCGTCCTCTTTCAATGAAGCCATGTCCACTAAGCTTGAAGGTCTCTTTCTCTTTGATCTTTGGCCCTTCGCAGAACTCAGTTTTTCATCTTCAGACTGCGTTGTAACCGAAGATGTCTGATCTCCTGAATTAGGTTTCCTGAGTTTAAATTTCAGCAGAGGTCTTGCTTCTTTCTGTAATGCTGGTGAGATGGATGTTTTGTCATCCACATGATTTCCTTCACTTGTTGATGCAGGGAACTGTGTGATCGAACCAAATGTAGCTTTACTTCCTTCAGATTGAGTTTTCCCAAACCTTCCAGAGATCTTCAGGGTTCTTACTTCGCCAGTCTGATCAACTTTATCTCCTGCAGAAATACATCATTGGCAGAAATTTAGAGAAACTATATACTTGCTTATGTTCAAGAGTTATTTATTGTCCACTTAATGATAATGCAAAAAAGTCTTTATGTGGTTGTGTACTATAAAAAAGATCTCAACATACCACCCAAAGTGGACTGATCTTTGTCCCTCGATAAATGAGAAACCACATTGGACTTCGAAGAACCACTGACATTTATTTTCCTAGCACCCAGATTAATAACCAACTTCTTTGCCTTTACAGATTTCTCCTCCCCTGCATTCCTTAGGGTATCCTCGCTATCAGAATCATGAGGCTTGCTACACTTTATTCTGACTATCCTTGATGGCTTTTCTTCATCAGTCACCATAACATCATCAACCCTCTTGTGTTTTACAATCTTAGGTTCATGTGTTGAGCAAATTCCAGCTACAGAAGAATTAACGTCTGATTGTTCGTTTATCTGAAACCCCACATTATCAATTCTAACACCACCTAGTCGGAGTCTCTCAGATCCAACCTCCTGATGAAGTTCAGGCTCTAACTTAGTGTGACTACCTTTTTTACTAGCATGCTTTTTACTTAAAGAGTGTTTCCCATACTCCTTGCTTTTCTTTGGGGATTTTTCCACCAAACCTTTAATAGAAAACTTCAGTGAGCGCCCAGATACGGGTCCATTTTCATCATCATCTGAAAATGGAAATATCGAAAATATTTCCTCGTCTGTTGGCAAACCAGCAGCAGCCCTTAAACTAGCAATCAACTCTTTGTCCACCACATCTTTTTTCTTCCAAAGTTCTTGAACTGCATCCTGAAGATCCTTCACCTGAGAAGCCAAAGATAGAATTTGAAAACCAGGAAAACTTATATGATCAACACACTAACAAATTGTACTACTGAATCCTCTTTCCATTTCAAAGGAAAACCCCCAGCTCTACGAGCATTACTTATATGATAATAAGAACCAAGAAGAATGATCTGAGTGACTAAGAAGCGAGGGTACTAATAACAGGATAACAGGAACAGACATACCTGATAACACTCCCCACGGCATGTGGCACATTTATATTGTAGCTTTCCGTCAACTTGAAACTGCAGATATTTGTCATCACTGCATGACAGTTTAAAGAGGCAAACAATTCCAGATTTAATATAACTCAAATACATTTTGCTATGCATATCTAAAATATGACTCAATCTAATTGGAAGTATATATCAGATGGCAGATGCAACAGAGATAATTATGTTTACAACAAAAAAATGAGAACGAACCTTATTCCATCGCAATGGCAATGCACCCAGCGTTGACAAATATCGCAGCATACCATTGGGGTTGATTCCGAATCCCTATACACCTATACAAGATAAGCAACCTTGTTAATGCGACACAAAAGAAGCGTGATGTTTTCCTACGGGAATCACGCATTAAAAAATAAAGGCCATGATAATGCTATTGCTAAGACTCATTTTGCTGAAAATAAATACCTTCAAGCATACAGGGCAATAATTTCCCTTCACAAACAATCTGCCACAAGCATCACAGCAAGTATATGATAAAAACCACCTGTTACATTAGAAAACAAAAGAGAACAAAACTGATCAACAGACTTTTAATAGGGCAATCAATCTGCAAATCCTTAACTAGCCAAACAAAGCAAATTGGTCTGCTCACTTGTAAGACTAACCTACCCGCAAAAGACTAAGAATGTATACCTGACACTTAGGCCATTTCCAGGGACAGTAGAATCACAGCTGTGGCATCTTGTATGCTTTGGGCAGAGATATGGCCCAGAACTTACATTCTGTGCGGTCATGATAAACTAAATAAGCCAATTTACTTTAGTTTAAAAGATAATCACATGAAGAGGCTATCTGTCAGATACCTTGTGTGGAGGATGTTGGCAATAACAATGGTAAGCAGCATCACACCTTTTGCAGAACATGAATTTGTTAGGATCTCCTGTTCTACGGCAGACCTAAGGATGGTAAAGACTCAGTGAGGCAGGTTCAAAGATCTAAGGACACTCTATAAAGCAGTTAGACTAACACTTTTATATCTGTTCCGTTAAATAGACAACATGTTTCGTTAAATAAAAAAGATTGATATGTTTTATCAACAGATATCACAAACAAGAAAATGAGAAACTAAGAAGAAATCACCTCACAAACCCGGCAAGAGGGACAACTCCATGAACTCCAATGAAATAAATCTGCAACTTACAGCAATTAGACCAAAAAAAAAAAAAAGACTTTAGCAAGCCAAGAAAAGAACAGAAACAAATAGAATATAAGTACCTCTATGTTGAGCCCAAGACTTTAAACAATTCTTGTGATACTTCTTTCCACAGGTTTTACAGGAAAGCATTCTCCTTGCTCTCTCACTTCCTTCACCTTCTCCTAGAAAGCACATTCTGCACATTATATTCATGCCGGAGTGAACTACTTCTTCACCAGCATGATCGTTTGAGGTAAGCTGTACAACAAACAAACAAACAAAAAGCTCAATCAAAGCTAAGTCAATACAGAAAAAGGCTTTAGAAGTAAAAGATGACATTTTTTGAGGCAACAAACAAATGTCAACCAAATTTTAATATCATCTTCCTAATAACAAAAGCAATTAGGAAAAAAAAACTCACGTCATTGACCCCAGATTCAAACCTCCGAGCATAATCCTCAGCAGCTTCAACCGTAACAGCAGCTTGTCTCTGAAGAGCAACACGTTTCTTCTGAGCCGAAGCTTCCTCCGCCAATTCATCAACTCCCGAACCAATAGCACCATCTCCAACCCCCAAAATCGAAACCGTCTGAGGAGCAGGAACAACCTTAGGAACCCTAACCTGAACGGTACCTCCATCAAAAACCTTAGAAGAAACACAAGGATCCTTGAGAAACTCCTCCACTCGATTAACCTCTTTCAAAAACTCCTCTTTCGCATTGGCTCCACGGAGATCCCGAGAAAACCCTAAGGAGCAATTGCAGATCCGACGACTACAACAAAAGGACGCGATTAAGAGATAATAGTGAAGCGTTTAAGGAAGAGATAGATAGATAGATAGATACCATGTAATTGGGCAAGCTACGTGAAAGGCCATATACAAAAATTATTCCTCTCGCCTCCAAACGGAAAAAAAAAAAATCGAGATTTGATTTTAGAGATCGCTTCTTTCTCTCTTTTTTTTTTTTAATTTAATTTATTCATAATAATAATATAAGGATCGATAATGTAATAATTATAAGTATTAATGAATTAATTAGCAGTTTGTGTGTGTAGTAGAAAGGGTCGTCTCTTTTGTGAGCTCTGTGAGTTTTGGTTTGGACGCAGAGATAGATAAGATGCTTTTTCTCATCTCAACCTTAATCAACCGTGTTTTTTAGATGCAGCCAAAGAAACCGAGTGCGTGTTGCTTCTTCCAATCAAAAGCTTCCACGTCAGACCACAATTGTGTTCTTCACTATACAATTTTGGGATTTATGTATAGACAGTTGTTGAATTTTTACCCAAAAACTTTTCCAATTACAGTATTTATATCAAATTATAGAAGAGAAGATTTCCTACTACTAAGTAGAGCAATAAAAAACTTAGAAATCCAAAAACTTGACTTGGTAAATTTATTAATTAGTATTGACAAAAGACGCGGAGAGTGACATTAAAAAACTTATTTGTGCAAAACGAAAAGATTCATATGTCTATTTAATCTAATGACAACAAATGATCTAGAGTTTTGTGCCAAACATAAATCTCCCCGAAACGTTAAGAGTAACCAAGTTTTCCATTAGGATAATAACACCAAATCTAAAAGAAGACGAAGGGAGAAACTTAAGTAGATTTATGTATTTTGGAATTATAGATTTGATCGTTTACTTCCATTACTCAAAATACTTCTCCACTAATCACTTACTAGTAGATATATTCGTTTACTTCCTATAATCAAAATACTGATCCACTAATCACTTGACCGATACTTCATACTTGACTACTACTACCCATCAAACATTAGTCTCTATTTTATATATATATCCCAAGTCATCTGATCATGATCATCCTCTCATCATCCAGAGAAATGGTCTGCTTTGATCTTCTTGATCTGTGCTGCGTCACTCTCTTTTTCAGCTGTATGAGCATCGTTGCTATCAAGTTTCTGCAGTTCCATGTCAAAAGACTCATCAGCTTCTGCCAAAAACTGCTCGACTTTCTCCTGAGACATGGTTTTTATAGCCAATGACAATAGGTAGCCATAGTCAGATTCTTCAGCTGCATCAAATGCTCCAGAGACTGCACCTTCGACAGCCTTGGCATTGTTCGGAAATGGTGTGAATCCTCTCTGTCTCAACTCCAGAACAAGATCAGCTTTCTTCTTGTTAATCGCTTTGATTTCTCCACTGATTACTCCACCGATAAACTTCACTTTGTTTTCTAGTAACAGCAGCTCATCATCAAATTCTTCAGCAGCATCAAATGGTCCAGCAGGCTTGGCCTTGTTCGGGAATTGTGTGAATCCTCTCTGTCTCAACTCCTGAAAAAGATCAGCTTTCTCCCTATTGTTCACTATGATTTCCCCACTCATAACTTCATCAACAAACCTCTTTTTGTCACTTAGTTTCAGTATCTCAAGTTCCACATTCTTTATCTGAATTCTCTGTATAACATCACAAGACGGTTAGTTAATGTTAGACCATTGCCTTGATATCTAAAAGAGTTAATCAAAGTTTAAGATTTCTAACCCTTCTCAGCTCACAGAATTCATGCTTGAGCTCTTCAAGGACTGCAAGGTGGGATAAATTAGTATTATCTTACTGAACAATTTGGATCTCTAAACGTTACAATAAGACTCAATTCCTTTATCAACTCAGACCTCAAATTACAACAATAACGTGAAATCAGCCTAGAAAAACAATATTATTAGTACCTGCGGTGAAATTTGAAGGAGGGTCCTCCAGGAGATCCTTGAGCTCAATCAAAATCCTCATCGAAGCCGTGATAGCCATGCTTCAGAATTAGGGTTCTCTCCTTGCAGAAATTGGAACTGAAAGAAGAATCTTTCTCAACCAGCCATTAACGAGAGAGAGAGAAGAGAATCGAAAAACATTTGGGCTCCAAACTGGTTTTGGGCCAGCTTTCTATGAGGTAAATTTGGGCTCTAAACTTTTATCCATTCTCACAATTTTTATAGGTGAATTTTCGATGAAAGGTAAAATGATACTACTGTTACCAAATCGATGATGTCTAAAATAATCAAGATTCTTTAACTGTTGGAAGCAAATTTATTTTTCTTTTAAACTACCCTAGTCAAATTTAAACTTTATTTTAAAAGGCCCACAATTTGGTATAAATGTGCTCAAAATTAAACCTGGTCCTAAAGTCCCATACAAAACAAATTTTGGTTGGGGTTGATTATTCAATGAACAAACTACAAAATATCAAATATAAAGCATCCTTAAGTTTTTAATTTACTTTCTCTTATGTAACTAAAACTACTAAATTAACTGATTATATTATAAGTTTATAACTTACAGAACATGTTTTTAGGTTTTATTATATTCCCGAGCAAATTAAAACACATGTCTAATCTAGTGTGTGTTGCAATAATGATATGTTTCACCTAGTTACATAAAACATTATGGTTACAACGAGTTAAACCGGTGAAAACATAGAAAAGGCAAGTGAAAGAAGACATTGATAATAACCATTCGTAATTAATAATTGCAACATGGAGCAATCGCGGCCGCATGGGGGCAAATGCATCGAGTGGATAACATTATAAGATAGAAAACGCGAAGGACCCTACATAACACGTAATTTAGTGATGTGTTATACTATTATTCAGCTGATAGTCACATGCGTTCGCTGACTATAACAAACCTATAGTCATAAATATATTGCACATGCCTCTGATTTTGTATAGATGGAGATATTCATTTAAAATGCCAATTATTATTGGAACCAGCCAAAGCCAGAATTGCCAACACCTTCTTTACCTCCATAATTACACTTGCATCTGCCGCAATTTCCGTTTAAGAAGATCAACAGATTAATATCCCACAATCTTGTACAATTCTAATACGATCTTGTCAAGCATAAACAATTTGAAAAAGAATCTGATTTTGAATGTGCAATTAACTTTATGCCAAAGTAAATGATACTTTAATAACTCGTTATTAATAATATACGTGCTGCTGCCACCTGCCGCCTATATGTGACTTGGTTGTTCATTATTGATGTTTTTAGAGTTATAAACTAAGTTAAGAGTGGTTTATTTTGTGTTTTTTACATGTTAGAACAGTTCTTTTTTAAAACGCGTATATAAGGTAGAGTTCATACTATAGTAGTTTTATATTTGATTATTTGAAGTTTTGACTCTTGAGAATATTTGCTCTGTTATGGCTCTGTTACCGACTTGGTTATTGAAATTTACAAAATATTGTGTCATTGTGTGTTTAAAACAACCATCCTAACTTAGTCAGTTCAATACCGACATCATTGTTTTGGCTCTATTAGTTACTTCAGTAGAAAAATCTCAATAGTTAGCACATCGATAATTTTGACATCAGCCATTGCTCTACGCTTACTAAGTATCATTTCCAAGATAGTTTACCATCAAAGACGACAAATTCCCAGTAGCTTTGTTATGAGGAAACAATAACTCTTATGTATATGCATGCATGAAAACATTTTTAGATTTATGTAGTAAAATTTCAATATCTCTAAAATTAAAAGTACATTACAATAAAAAAACATATATCAATGACAATAACACTAACCAATTTAACTAACTTTAGTTCCTCTCAATTTCTCTTATTACCATACAAATAAACCAAAAAGAAGGCCAAAAATATCTTGTGAAGAAATGAAGCAAGGCACAAGTGCCAATACGAGATTAGAGCATGAATTAAGGAGAAAAGTCGGTTTCAGTTCAGCAAGACAGACAGACAGACAAAATCCATCGATGGGGTCCAGTCACATTACCTCTTTCTTCGTGATTTCCTCTCTCTCCACTCGCTTTTAATCCTTTTCACTTTTTTCTTGTATAAAGTCGTAGCATCTCGAGATCGTCTTCCTCTCACAATCTCAAATTCTTCGGACCCTTTTCTCTCTCCCCTGAAGCTCCCCTCACTCACTCTTCTCCGAGGAAGAACAACAGAGACAATGGCGGTTCCCAAAGCCATTATTCTACCTATCTTGCTACTCATCTGTGGTGCTGCTCTTGGAGCCCCTGCTTATGAAGGTATATCCCAAACACACTCTCTCTGTCTTCTCTGGTATGCTTCGATTTTGGAAGATGGGTCTTCTTTGCTTAGGATTCTAAAGCAAGATTTGGTGTTTCTGGATGAAAAAGATTCAATCTTTGTCTCTAGATCTAAGATTTATCTCTCTGTTTACTTCTTCAGGATATCTTCGTAATGGAAACTTCGAAGAGTCACCAAAGAAAACCGACATGAAAAAAACAGTTCTAATCGGCAAAACCGCCTTGCCCGAATGGGAAATCACCGGTTTCGTCGAGTACATCGCCGGCGGTCCTCAGCCGGGAGGCATGTTTTTTCCGGTGGCTCATGGAGTCCACGCCGTGAGGCTCGGAAACGAAGCCACAATCTCTCAGAAGTTAGAAGTGAAGCCAGGTTCTCTCTACGCACTCACGTTTGGTGCGTCGAGAACTTGTGCACAAGACGAGGTTCTTAGAGTCTCTGTGCCTTCTCAGTCCGGTGACTTGCCGCTTCAAACACTTTACAACAGCTTCGGAGGTGACGTGTACGCTTGGGCCTTCGTCGCTAAGACTTCTCAAGTTACTGTGACTTTCCATAATCCTGGAGTTCAAGAAGATCCTGCTTGTGGTCCTTTGTTGGACGCTGTCGCCATTAAAGAGCTTGTTCATCCAATCTACACCAAAGGTAATTATTGAAAGCTTTGCTTTGATTCCGGTTCAATTTCTTAGGGTTTTAGTTTCCGGTTATTGGATAACAGTAACCGAAATTAGTTACAATTCCATGGTTCAGTTTGGCTTTTGGTTTATATTCGGTTCGATTTTAGATAGAAAAATATCTGAAGAATCATACATATATAATCAAATTCAATTAACATTATAGATTTATAGTCATATTATATACACTATGCTGATAATTCTATAGAAAAAATTAGTAAGTAATGAATTGTCCAATTTTGGGTCAATCCTGCTTTTGGTGTAGTTTGGTTCGATTTGGTATAATGTTGATTACCCTACCAATTTTATCTATTGAAGAATTTGGTTTCATAATTCGATTATTCTGACAAATGTAGGGAACTTGGTGAAGAACGGAGGGTTCGAAGAAGGTCCTCACCGTCTTGTGAACTCCACACAAGGAGTCCTACTCCCACCTAAACAAGAAGATCTCACATCACCTTTACCTGGTTGGATCATAGAGTCACTCAAGGCAGTGAAATTCATAGACTCTAAGTACTTTAATGTCCCCTTTGGACATGCTGCTATCGAGCTCGTTGCAGGCAAAGAAAGTGCCATTGCACAAGTCATTAGAACTTCTCCAGGTCAAACTTACACCCTCTCCTTCGTCGTTGGAGATGCTAAGAATGACTGCCATGGTTCCATGATGGTTGAAGCTTTTGCAGCCAAGGATACCCTCAAAGTACCACACACTTCCGTTGGTGGAGGTCATTTTAAGACCGCAAGTTTCAAGTTCAAGGCGGTTGAGGCAAGAACTAGAATTACTTTCTTCAGTGGTTTTTACCATACCAAGAAGACTGATATTGGATCTCTATGTGGTCCTGTCATTGACGAGATTGTGGTTTCTCATGTCGCTTAGATTAAGTTTACTCTTTATCACAAGTCTGCATCTTGTGTTCTTAGACTGGTCATGGAATTGGTTCTTTGCTTTGTATGTCTTGGCTCCTTTTGGAATCAAGTTATAGCCATCACGTTAAAATGAATGATATATTATTGTAATATGAGATGTTTTGAGTCAAAGCGAAGAGCAATAGTTGATAACCAAGAATTAGACTCTAAGACATACTAAAAAGCGAAATAATTAACTATTGAAGTATAGCTACTTGTTAATCACAAGTTTAAAATTTGAATATTAAAGTGTAAATTTTGAATTCATCAAAAACAGTAGAAGATTTGAGGTAGTTGAAAAACTTTAGAATATATACTATTAGATAATGAGAAAGGACAAATCTAATGGCTTCATTAATTAAAATCTGAGCCTAATTTTGGCTCTTAATTAAGGAAATAACTATGGTCCGATTTTCTTTAGTAAAAGGATCAAAACCATTATTTTTTTCTATTTTTTCAATCAACACCAAATATTCACAAAGAAGAGTGCTATTTGGATAGAAAAGCCAGTGAGGGCTCCATATATTAATAACTTGATATGCATTCTAGATAAACTTTTGATCCAATTATTTATGTAAAACTGTTAAAAGATAACTGTCTCTCGAGCAAAATGTTAAAAAAAAAAAGAAACACAAGAACCAGAAACAAAAACGAAGAAGGAAGAAGGAGATGCAACTCGATATAAATAAAGTAAGTCCTAGGAAGATGAAGAGGTTGATCTTCCACGCAAGAACCTCCACGGTCCAGTTCCTGTTGCCATCCTGCATAAATAAATTCAAACACCAGAGTCAACGACTGCTTCTATTATAATGGGCTATATAGTAAAGGCCCATTAATGACCCAATTTAAATACCTTGCAATTCCAGTAATAGCACGGAGACCCATATAGATTGTAAGAGCTATCCATATTCCTATGAAACCATTGGTCTTTGCCATATATATTACTGCTCCAATGCTTATGGCCGCCACTCCCACCTGATTCATCATAATTGGATTACAAGAAAAAAAAGATTATTATTTAAGTCATTTAGAAAAAGAAAAAAAAATAGTCATTTCATAGCATATGTATATGGTGTGTGTACCATGGAGTATGCAGTGTAAGCAAAATCAGATGCTCCAAAATTGACTCCATCCAATACAAAGGCGAGTGAGTTTATTGGTTGCGTGGCTGCTATAAACTGCATAAATATAAATATAAATAACCTCTTCTCATTAGTAAAATCATTTTCAATGTTTTTTATATTTTAGTATTTGTTATTGATTATTAATACCGGTATTCCAATGGTCATGAGGTGAATAACAGCAGGGTCCTTGGAGAATATTCCGGAACCAAAGTAGAGACCTAGTCCAACAAAAACGGACAGTCCAAGTCCTAACACAAAACCCATCTGCATATCAAATTCATTTTTGTTTTCGTTACAAAAATGATTTTAATTTTTAAATTAAGGTTTGGTAATATGATTTTTGGACCGAACCTGTAGAACACGGGATGCAACAGCAGTCACTTTGTTATAGTCCTTCTCAGCAAACGAACAAGCCAGGATCGCCTGCAACGTATTGAATGATCATTTTCCATAGAAACTTGATCAACCATATAACTATACATATGAGAAAATTAACATGATTACCTGACCAGCAACGGCAAGACCATCATTGAGAAGAGAAGAAGTTAACCAGACTTGTAAACAAATCTGAAAAGCAGCCATTGGTGTTGTACCCAGCCGAGCCGCCATTGCTGCTGCTAAGGTCTGACAAAACGTCACTGCTATAGTCCTCGCCAGCAATAGTATCCCTTTCATTTTTAGTTGTACTTGTTAGACATCCACATTTCTCATTTTCTCAACTACTGTATACTTAAAAATATTCTTACATTTTAAATATAGACCTTATTTGGTTAAACTCTACTATTATATAGATAACTTTTTGAATTGAACAAGTTAATATATTTTTGGAGTCTGTGCATATTAATTAATGAATATGCATCCGACGTACCATTTTTAAGGAACCTTCCGAACTGCAAATCCCCGAAGTTTGGTGGAATCAAATTAACTTTCTTTGCGAGGCAGACGAACAATATTAGAGTCATGAAGTACCTTCACGTATACACAAACAAATCATTAGTCTATTTATAGCTGTACAAAAAACAAGAATGCGCCTAGCGATTACTATTCAATAATGATCACTTTTGCATGTGTGAAAAAGTTGAGTGATTTCTCTTACTGAGAAATGACATGGGCAATGGCTGCACCGCTGATCCCGAGACGAAGCACAAAAATGAAGATGGGGTCGAGAGCGATGTTGATAACATCTGCTACGACTGTTTCATGCATTAAGGCAAAATATTATATTAGCTAGGGTGAATAATCATATTATAATTAAAAATTAAGAAGAGTGATCATTAAAGATATGATCTAATTTATAACTTAATTACCAGTGGCAAAGAGAGGAGTTTTGGTATCCTTGAAGCCACGAAAGACGCCTTGCATAGCAAGAGATAGAAGCAATGCAGGGGCCCCCAAAGCTCGTATACTCAAGTACTTGTGTGCTGGTGATAACATTGGCGAATTCTGTTATCCAAAGTGAACTCAAATTAGTCAAAAACATTTTGTCCTATAAACAAATATGTGCGCATGTCTATGAAAACTTACTGGTTTCACTCCCATGAAGCCTAGAAGCAACTTGGAGCTGAAAATCAAGAAAATAGCTTGCACAAGGCCGAGGATTAACCCCAATATCATAGATGTTGATGCTGTTCTAATGGTCCTCTTCCCCTTTTTAGTCGCTTTGTTTCCACTATTTGACTTTGTATCCAAAGCTAGTTTCACACAACCAAAATACAACAAATTGGAAAGAAAAAAAGAGGGAAGAAAAGAAACCAACAGTAAAAAAAACTTTTATAAAAGTTGTGAACAATGTCGAGTGAGATTTGCGGAATTTACCTGGGAGTTGCTGTGGCTGGTTGGTATTGTTACTTGTAGGTGAAGAAATGCCCTTTTCCAAGGAATCTTGAACAAGTATAGTTTCTGCATGAACAAGACTGGCTTTGTTCGCTTCTTCTTTCATCTTCTCCATCGTGTCTTCCTCTGCCACAAACGAAGTCGTGAGGCTCACAAGTGGGAACATCGTAATTCTAGATGCTTGATTGAATATGGCAATGGAGACTCCAACCGCCGCTAGCTGAGCCGCTCCTAAACGCCCGACAAAAGCGGTATCAATCAGAGAAGCGATTGGATCAGCAGCTAAAGCCAAAGCTGTTGGAAACGCCATGCCTAGAATCTCTCGCCCAATTGTATCCCTACTGAATACATGTCTGCAATTTTACACAAACAAAATAATGTTATGCATCACTTCTTTTAAAGTATCCATCACCATTTCTTAAATACATACATACACACACACCTTAAATCTTTGAAGATAACAAGAAATGGGATTGACTTGGTCACGCTGGTTGGAACCGTAGCAAGATCATCACCAGTTTCCGTCATAAATCTTTTCCTTCGTAACTGTCTCTGTAATTAATTTGTTGTGGATCTGAAGATATCAATAAGTGTTTCGAAGAATCGGGGAAGCAAAAGGAACGTTTATAGTAGATTCTATGCACAAATGTATTTGTATATTTATAGACACGTAATGAGCATGCATATCTTTGCTTATTTAATAAAATAAAATAAAACAAAAGAAATTTTGTTCTATATTTATTAAAGAAAACAAAGGTTTCCTTCCCTAACTTTTTTTTTGCTGCTCTTTATTTCCGTCCAAACTTAAGACACCAATAATATGGAATTTCTATTCTCATTGAAGGAAAATAGGTACGCATAAACATCGTAATATATTTCTATTAAGTAAATCCCATTAGAACTTTTTGGTTTGCCCTTGTTTATTAATATAACTTCTAGTCTTCTATGATTCTTTAACCAGTAGGAAAATATGGTACTCGTGAACTTTTAACAAAACTTATAGTACTGAAGCTGACTGTGAAAGAGAAAGAGTCTTCTATTTTAATATCGAGTAAATAAATTATGTTTTCATTTAAAGTTTTCTTACTTGTATATATTCATCATAGTGGGAAAGAGTTTTTTTTCTTCTAAACTCTTCATTTATTTTTTTGATATCTTCCACTAAAAAAGTGAATCATCTTGCGTAATTGAAACTCACTAGTTGACAAAAAAAATGTTATCATTAAATAACACATAATTAATAATTCAAAAGCTACTTTAATTTTTCGGCAGTTACAAAAGCTTTTAAATATTTTTACTATTTTAATAAATATTTTTGGGTTAATTTGGTATATAATTAAACTGAAATTAGTTTTTTTTTGATTAAAGAAATTTGATACTATGATTTAAATATTACAATAAATCATTAAATATTTTAAATAGATGTTTACTATCACATGCTAGACCAATAATTACACTTTATTATTTTGATTAATATTTTTATTTGTAAGTTCCCCTCAAAATGTTCTCATGCTTGCACATCGAAAATTTGTAATTTTTTTCCGTCTTCTCCCTTGATATATTAGATTTTAACTTAAAAGTTGCTATCGTTATATTTTTCGTAAATGACTAAAAGACGAAAATACCGTTTACAATTTTGGCGGATATTAAAGTTTTTGGCGTCATCGATCGTACATAGTACAACTAAAAAAATCGCGGAAACAATATCTGACGTGGATATGAAATTCCGGTGAAGACAACGGTATTTGTAAAAAAATTTTAAGTAAATAAAAAAATAACATAGTACTTAATAATTATTCCTTCCATAGAACCTCGGTTCCAAGATCTTTGATCTCTTTGATGCCCCTTGGGACGTTGAAAAGAGTAATAAGTTATATAAGTTGTAGCATTACTAGAAACACATGCTTGCGAGCATTGTTTAAAGAATTGCATAACGTTATTTTTCGAGGGAGGGGTTTCTGAGGGAGGGAGGAAAAGAGGGAGGGTTTTGAGAAGGCCGTTTAGTTTTAGCAGTATTCAAAGTACCTAAGATTAAATCGGTATATAGCAAGTGTAAAATATATTTGTTGTATGATTCGTGTCATGTTCATCTTAGCAAAAATAAGCTTTCTATTATGATTTATGAACATCTTTAAAATTATAATATTAGTTAAAGGAAGGTGACAGTCGGAAAAC